GGGGGTCTTTTTTCCTCACCACTGTGTGTTTGTGGGGAGGGTGGCCAAATTATTTAATCTTTCTAAACTTCAGTTGCTTTAATTACCAGGGGAGCCAAAGGATGCTACCTCATTGGGTTCTTGTGGATTAGTAGAGATAATGGGTGTCATTAAATCTGTAGGGCTGTTGTGCAGTTTAAATTTGGCCTGGATCCTCAGAGGGCCTGCAAACCTAAGACACTGCTGACTGAAATCATCTTGCCAGACCTTTCCCTCTTCCTTTGTGGGTTCCTGGGACTGAACAGTCATTTCTTGCACTTCGGTTCTCCTTGGCAATAGAGCATAGCCCTGATCTTAAGAAAGCCTTGAGGTGGATTCCTCTGACAAAGCTGACAGCTCTTCCTAGGAATGTATTTTTATTTCCTCCTTTCTCCTCCCAGGTATGCCAGAGACACTTCATCTCAGGCCCAGATTTGTGAGCCAAATTCTGACAAGCCATGAGGCCAATCTTAGGCACGTTGCTTCCCTTTCCTGGGCTACCTTGCAGCCAGCAAACCCTTTCCTGCCCTGTGGACAAGCTCTGTGCAGTGCATTGAGTGCCCTGAGGGCGTCTTATCTCTCTGTGCCACACTGTCTAACTTCATCGTGTGGCCAGAGATTGGAGGAAAGGGGAGATTGGAGTCCGCCACAGGCCTAAGAGGCAGGGTTTGGGCTGCAGTGGTCTCAGCGTTTGCCAGGCTGGAGTGTTTGCCAGACTGTCCTGCCAGTGATACGGGCTCCAAGTCCATCCATGTTGCTGCAAACAGTAGCTGTTTGTTTCCCCCCACCGCCCTAAGGAAGGTGTTGAGTAACAGCCAGGAGTTCAGAGACACCACCTGGGGGAATCTGGATGCTTTTCTCCCAGCTGCAGTGTTTGAGTCAGTCTGCGGTTTCTTTTGCCTTGTACCTGAAGTACCTCAGAGTGCTGCTGCTGTGGCTGGGCCTTGCTTGAGTGGTGCCCAGAACCCCACCTCCAATAGCTGACGGCTCAAGAAGAAATTCATGGAGATGGAAGGCCTCAGGTATTATTCTAGCTTTTTCTTTTCTCCAAACTGGGCCAGCGATGTCCTCTCGGCCTTCATCCCTCACAAACATTTCACCCTGTTTGTGGACTACTGATAAGTATTCTCATTTCAAAGGAGAGAAATATTAAAAAAAGAGTTTTAATCTTAAGGCACCAAGAATAAGCTATAGAGTTTTGGTAGGATTGCATAAATAATTGTCCTCTGAACTCTCACAATACTTTTACATTTTTTCTTTTTTTATATATAAATTTATTTATTTTATTTTTGGCTGTGTTGGGTCTTCGTTGCTGCGCGTGGGTTTTCTCTAGTTGTGGCGAGCAGGGGCTACTCTTCGTTGCGGTGTGCGGGCTTCTCATTGCAGTGGCTTCTCTTGTTGCAGAGCACGGGCTCTAGGTGTGTGGGCTTCAGTAGTTGTGGCCTGTGGGCTCTGGAGCACAGGCTCAGTAGTTGTGGCGCACGGGCTTAGTTGCTCCGCGGCATGTGGGATCTTCCTGGTCCAGGGCTCGAACCTGTGTCCCCTGCATTGACAGGTGGATTCTTAACCACTGCACCACCAGGGAAGTCCTACATTTCTTATAGCAGTTACTGTTTTGGTCATACTTTCTCATCTCTTAAGATCTCTGAGATCTATCTCATCTCCCTCGCCCTTCAGCATTCAGTGGTGCCTAGTGTAAAACCCTTAGGTAGGGCCTGGCCCGCAACAGGTGCTCAGAAATGTTAGAGTGGGAGAGGCACAACCCATCCCTGTAAAGGCTTGATCAGTCAGCCTCAGGATTTAAACGCTGCCCCCTTGAATCACATTTCCTTATGAATGGTTGTTTTCCTGTCTTTGAGGTATTTTTTCTTCCTTTAAAACAAAACATCAACTCTATCGGCTTCATGATTAGGGGAGAGACCTCTGTTATATATCAGGCAAATCTCACTATTCACTTCTTTTAAAAAGTATTTTAAAAATTGAATTCTTTAAATTCAGTAGTGCTTTACAATTTTCAAAAGTTTCACACGATTTCATATAATCCTATAACACTTCCCCCCCACGCCCACCCCTGTACTGCCCCTCTCCTTTCCCTCTCCCCACTGGTAACCACAAGTTGGTTTCTATCACTAAGTCGGCTTCCTTTTATTTTATTCACTAGTTGTATTTTTTAGATTCCACATGTAAGTGGTATCATACAGTATTTGTCTTATTTCACTTAGCATAATGCCCTCCAAGTCCATCCATGTTGCTGCAAATGGCAAAATTTCATTTTTTATGGCTGAGTGGAATTCTATTATATATATTTATATACCACATCTTCCTTTATCCATTCATCTGTTGATGGACGTTTAGGTTGTTTCCATACCTTGGCAATTGTAAATAATGCTGCTATGAACATTGGAGTGTAATGCTATTCACTTTTGTTCTGTCCAATCACAATGATCTTTCAGGAAAAATGAATCTGATCCTGTTACCTTCAAACTTAAAACCCTTTAATAGCTTGCATTTAAGTCTTTGTTTATTTATTTATTTATGGCTGTGTTGGATCTTCATTGCTGTGCGCGGGCTTTCTCTAGTTGCAGCAAGCAGGGGCTACTGTTCATTGCCGTGCACGGGCTTCTCACCGTGGTGGCCTCTCTTGTCAAGGAGCACGGGCTCTAGGCACGCGGGCTTCAGTAGTTGTGGCACACAGGCTCAGTTGTGGCTCGTGGGCTCTAGAGCGCAGGATCAGTAGTTGTGGCGCACGGGCTTAGTTGCTCCGCGGCATGTGGGATCTTCCCGGACCAGGGCTGGAACCCGTGTCCCCTGCACTGGCGGTGGATTCTTAACCACTGCGCCACCAGGGAAGTCCCCCAGTTAGTCTTAAAGATGAAATTCCTTAACACAGCCCACAAGTCTCTCGTGAACTGTGCTGGAACTTACCTCTTCAAATTTCTGCTACACAGATTTCTCCTGCCACAGAGCTCCCTTTCTGGTGCCTAATGGGCACCACACTCTTCCTTGATCAGGATCCTTCACATATGTTGTTTCAACCTGGAATAGCAACTGCCCCCCCCCCCCCCCTCCCCCCCAAAGTCAGCCACTATTTACATGTTTTCAAGGCACCCTGTACTTGTCCCTCTGTTGTGCTTATGACAGACGTGGTCAAAGTTTGCTTCTCAACTAGGAATCACATGTCTCATTCATCACCCAAATCTTGGCCCAGAAGCAATTCAATCACTGATGAATGAATTCCAGAGCTTTTAGTGTGAGAGGCCTAGTGGGACTCTAAAATGGTCTATAATGAGCAACTTGGTCTTGGTGAATAAAAGGAATTTTGTACCCACAACATGCAATTTCTAAACTGAGGTTTAGAAATAAACCTATTTGTTCCTATTCAACAGTCCTCTTACATTGGCTGAAAACTAACCCCTTTCCCAGTGTCATCTGTTTTGGGTAGAGTGAAAGGATTTTCTAAGGGAGAAATATTTTATATGATTCTTCAAGGCTTTTCTCCTCCTAAGAAACTTACAGTATTTTACCATTTATTATTTTCTAAATTAATTTATTTTTTTGGCCACACCACACAGCATTCGGGATCTTAGTTCCCCGACCAGGGATCAAACTCGTGCCCCCCTGCAGTGGAAGTGCGGAATCTTAAACAGCTGTACCAGCGGAAGTCTCTACTTTACCATTTAAACTGTGCTGTGCAATACAGTAACCGCTAGCCACATGTGGCTAATTATAATTAAAATAAAAACTTCAGTTTCTCAGCTTCACTAGGCACATTTCAAGTACTTAACAGGCACATGTAGCTAGTAGCTACAAATTGGACAGCACAGATATAGAACACTTCCAACACTGCCAAAAGTTTTACTGGACAGTGACGTAAAACTGTTTTGCAGAATCCAATTTTTTTTCTAGCTTGTCCTGCCAGTGATATGGAAATCAAGATATGTTAAATTTCTATGTTAACTTAGCACAGAGGAGGACCAGAGATTTTGGAGAGGCTAGCAAAAGCTGTACATGCTGTATTTCTTTGCTCTGCCCGATGCCTTGCAGATCAATCACAAGGAAATCCCAGTATCTCTGCCTTCTTTTTTGTAAAACAAGGACAATCCCACCTCCTTGGGGAATACTGGAGCTAACATGGATATTGTATATACATCATCACTAGTTGGAGTGTGTGCATAGAGAGATTAACCTCTCCAGACTGTTGTATCCTACCCCCAAAAATCAAGGAAAAGTTTTGCTTCACCTATGTCAAAAGTATTTTAAGAAGTACAAAATATGTGGGGAAAGTGCTGTATAATTGTTAGATAAAGGTTCACAGAATTTATATCACCATGTGATACAGGATATAATAAAGCTTAAGTGGGGTTGAGTCCATCATTAAACTTGTTTTATGAGGATCTAAGCAATGATAAGAAAATAGCATGTCCATAAATCTTTAAAAAAAATTTCTAGAGGACACATTTTATTGCAGAATATTATCACTGCCAGTTATGAATACCCTACTTGCTTTTCTGCTCAAAATACCGTTTCTCCGTATCATCATAACTAACAATTGTATTCACTTTAGCCAAAGTCTAATCCTAGTTTAAACTGTGAATTTAAATGAACATGTACTATGAAGTCAAAGTGAGAATCTGACAGGTCCTTTGTTCTGGCTCAGCCTTTTCCTGATGCAGGGTTCTCTCTGTGGGGCTTATTTCTATCACTACTAACCTGGGTTTGCTGGCCTATAAAAGGGGAAAAGCAGCTCTGGTTATTTAGAGAGAAGCATCTGACTACCAGGTATAGCATATTTATCAATGTCTCAAGATGCTGGCTCACTTATCTCCACTTATTGCTGCAGCCATACTACTTATCTCACTAAATCCTTCCTTGTACATCTAAATTTCAGATATCTATTCTGTCACTGAAGTTTGTGGTTTGAGCACAACTGAAAAAGAACCAGAAGATATCGGTGGTAAATAACAGTCACACAAATACAAAAAGATACTTAAGTGTTAGAAACGTTTATTTGTCAAAATATTAAAAAAAAAAGGGGGGGGAGAAGTGGAGTAAAACAAGGCTAAATTTCAGCTAATGCTGTACCATGATCACAGGTCAGACATAAAAAAACAAAACAAACAAAACAACAACAACCAAAACCCCAATGGTCCTAGCAGTTTCAGAAGATTAGCTTCAATGTTAGAGTCCAGAGCTAACAGAGAAGAGTAAAAGGCTGCTTGCCACTACATGGTCATTTTAAAGGGAAAGGAGATGTTGCAGGTAGACAGGGAGAAGGGTTCAACTCCTAAGGAAAGCAAGATAAGAGGGATTCCACTGTACAGGAAAAAGGGGATGCCAGCATAATCCTTACCTAGGGCTGCTCAGAGGCTGAGAACATAAGGAATAGAGTGAAAGGCTACAGAGACTAGTATCAGGAGGAAAGAAAAGTCAACTTAGAAGAATTAAATTAAGAAAGAAAACATAGTTGGTCACAAATTCCTTTGTTTACTGAAACATGAAGCAATGGAAACATCCCGGCAAAGGGGACCGCGCGGAGCAAGTTCTCATATATGACCGCAGCCCGAGGGTTCAGTCCGCAATTATCCTACCTGAAAGAGAGCACAACACAAGAGGCTTACACAATGCCTGGAGAGCAGCTTGGCTCCGAGTACAAGGGCCCCGGTCCCGTCCTGTATTCCAGGGGGAAAGAAAAGAACAGAACAAAACAAAACCAAGTCAGACCGGATCAAACTTACAACTCATATAATTACCTAGGAGTCTTCTATGGCTATATATAGGAATTTACTTTTAGCTATATATAGAACAAGAAGCAGTCTATCTGGAAGACTGCTGTGTTGGTGATAAATATATCTTTCTCACCAATCTCTTAGGCAAGACTACTTCTGTGATACAAGGCTACTGTCGCTGCAACAAAGGGCATACAGATATTATCAAGAACCATAATTTATCCAGAACAATCAGAAGATGCCAAGGTCTCAAATATGGCCAACTGCAGTCTTCTAAATTTGTCTCATTTTTAATCTTTCATAGTGAACAAATTTTCAGAAATGGGTATCACAATCACAAAGGGTATCAAGGAGTGGTTCATTCATCCTCCAGCATATCTGCATATCATACTGTCACAGATTTAGAGCCATAATTCCAGTAGTTCCTTTAATTGACCAAATCTCCCTTACCAAATCAAAAGAAGAAATCCTAAATTCTCTAATTCTTCCACTGATGATGGGAACTCCAGACACCAATGGCTGGGGGAAAAAAAAAGTTAACTCACACCAAGTTCCTCTACTTATTACAGACAAAGGGCCAAATCTTGGTCTTGATCTGTGCCAATCGACTTCAAAAGTTGTGACGTTCTTGAATCAGTTCTGCTAGGGTGAGACCCGAATTTGGATCCCCAACAGTTCTGGAGTATTTCATCCTGGCAGCCTCATTAACATCAGGCTCCTGGGACTGCAACCAACTCAAGGTTATTCAGTCCATTTGAGGTTCACACCTGGAAGGTAAGTTTCTTTAAAAGTCATCACTAAAAAGAGGTTAGTTGAACAACCACTGCTCGCAGTCAAAAACCACTTAAAAAATACCTTAGCAATACCCTTTAAAGACCACAATATACACTAATTTAATATTTAACTTTGGAACATATCTGAGAGAAATATAAGTTATCCGATAGAAGATACCACCTTACTTTAGAGGCATATCCTACTTCATGGCAGATCCAGCAGCAATAAAAGTAAAAATTAATGGCAAACTACGCTAGTTGTAAGATTGTCCTCTTCATGCACATGAACACACACTACACAGCGGTCTCAGGGGATCCGTCTTGTCATGGTCATATAGGACATAACTTATCACAGGTTCACATCATATTTGCTTCCCACTACATAAAAGGGCAAATTCCTGTCACTTGGTTTTCTTCTACACATATACCAAAAGGGTACTCAGGAACCCTGAAAACTCAGTGGTACTCAGTTTAACTTTGCTACGAGGCCTCCAGTTCTACTGATGGTCAATTTCAAGGTACAAGGAAAACTATGAGAATAGAAAGTTATAATGCAATTTCCACTCAGATGAAGAGATTTATCAATCTCTAGATACTCCTAGTTATTCTTGACATTCAAACATCTTTGCTATACATTTTCTGAAGTAGGAAAAATTGCAAGGTTACCACCAATGGGACTTACACACATCAGAAAATTACCTGTTTTATCTAGCTCCTTAAATGTTCCTCTCAAACAAAAAAAAAAAAAAAACAAAATTTGCTGGAAGAAATGGTAAGTGTCAGGCTCTAAATGACAGCATCATAAGCCATGCAGAAATACGGCTTAAGTGCCCACACAGAACACGATGCTCTGGATTACTAACAAGGAAGGGACTCCATGGGACTATGGCATCAAAACGTTCTGCTTTCAAGCAAGTATCCTGGAACTAAACACCTAGAATTTAGAGGATTTTATTTGGCTTATAGATATGTTAGAAGAGTTTCCTCTGATAAAGGCTCATGACTGAAGTAGTAGTTTTATTAGCAAATTGGATGTCTGAAGTTACAGCTTAAATTCTCACTGGTGACATTCATTATTAACTCCTGAACCTGTACTCTTCAGCGTACACTACAGTGACTTTTGTGGTGGAAAGAGAAAGTGGTTTTGGACTCAGGCATGCCTGAGTTTGAATTCTGGCTCTACCTCTCAATTACCAGGTGACTTTAGGCAAAGGACTTAACCCCTCTGAGCCTTAGTTCCCTCCTCCATAAAAGAAAATATCTTAAAGGCCAGCTGTATAATTAAATGATATAATGTACAAAGAGGGCACTCAACAAGTGTTAGTTCTCTTAACTATGTCTCTGTAACCCAGATCTGCTTACACTTGATTAAAGAAAAATATTCTCACTAACAAACTGAGTTGCTGTTGTTCTCTCAGAAGGAACAAGTTGGTTGGTTGGAGTTGTAAACTAAAACCTCGACAGGCCAAATGAACCCCTGGCCTAAGTTAGAGAAATACTTAAGACTAACATGCAATTTATACCTTTTGGATACTGTCCTGACAGCAAACGGATGGCTTTAGCCTCCTCTATGTGGCACAGGTCTCCCTCCTGGGGAACTAAATGGAATCTCTTAACCACACCCACCCCACTCTCACCTCCAGTTTTTAAAAGGCTGAGTACCGTGCTCGGTCCACATACTGCTCCCGCTCATACCGGGCCATGTCATACAGAGAATTCCGTGCAGCTGCTGAAGCCTGAGACAGCTCACTCTCTGGCCCATAACCGTAGCCCTCTCCAACTGTGGGGAGCACAGCTGCAGCACGACGCAGGGGGCTCCTGTCCCTTCCATAATAGGAGGAAGTGGTGGCAGCGGCAGCAGCCATAGCAGCTGAGGTGGCAGCAGCGCCTGAGTTTGGCAACAGGTGTCTGTCGTAGGGATCAACAGAAGTGGAGTTGAGGTGACTGGTCACAGCTGTGCTCTGGACTTGAGGCAGATGGGACATGGTCTGCTCTGCGTAGTTGTACGCGGAAGCTGCTGCTGCTGCTGCCACTGCCTCGTAAGAACGGACTCGGTAACGCTTATAGTAGTCGAGCGCTCCATACGCATCGTTGTAATACATGGATTCCCCGTAGCCCATGGCGTAAGGTGTGCGCACTGCTCCATACTGTTCGTTATACTGCTCGGTAAAGTCCGCCACACGACCCGTACGATCTACTGGACACTCTTTGGACCAGTGCCCCTCTTTCCCACACCGATAGCAGCCACTCTGGTCTCCCATCCCAGGGGCAGTCCGAAGCCGGCTGGTAGACAACTGCACGTGCATTCGTTTGCCTTGAGGAAATAGACGTAAGAAGATTTATTATAACTCATTGACATTCTTTATCCTCCCCAAAATGAAAGTGAACTAGTTGGCAAAAGACACGCAAACATACGCACACTCCTGCAACCCTATTTCAGCAATCCCCTCCAAAAGAAGTTGAAGTTTTAACAGACGAGAGCTAGAAAATTTAAGTTCTCAGAAACCAGTCAATACTCTCTACTTACACCAGTAGATCGGGATTCCCTCCTACTTCCGTCTCCACAACTTTCTTCTCCAACACAGAAATTGAGAAAGTTTCCACTTTTCACTACTAAGACCATTATTAATTCTAACCATTCAAAACCTGACAGTTTTTCCAAATCAAATATCCAACAAAACCTCAGTTATGCCAGAGGAAAGCATCCTACCTCTCAACGATTTACTCAGGGCCACATAAGGCCTGAGCATTTACTGTAGCTTAAAAACCACAGCAGGGCTTCCCTGGTGGCACAGTGGTTGAGAGTCCGCCTGCCGATGCAGGGGACAGGGGTTCGTGCCCCGGTCTGGGAAGGTCCCACATGCCGCGGAGCGGCTGGGCCCGTGAGCCATGGCCGCTGAGCCTGCGCGTCCGGAGACTGTGCTCCGCGACGAGAGAGGCCACAACAGTGAGAGGCCCGCGTACCGCAAAAACAATACAAACAAACAGCAATATGCTGTGCATCTTGTTTCCTCCAGCCATTTCTGCAGGTGTCACCAGAAGGCTATGTGGGGTACACAAACCACAGCTGGCTCACCATCTGCTTCAACTCTAGCACCTCTAAGAGTTTGTTGTAAGACCCTCCACATTTCAAGCCCACCCCCACTTTTTTCAGCAAGGGTGAACCCATGCCTACTGTGGAAAAGAAAACTACTTGACCTAGGCCTGTCAACAGCTAGAATTAGATCTTGAAGCAGTACTGGTTTCTTAGGGACAGTGTGCTTCCATGTAATGGAATGATCGGCATTTCATCCTACTACGTAGTTTACAATTCTTTATAGGGGATTATCTACTTGTTAGAAAAATGCAGCATTTGCCTAAAGGCTTCTGGGCACCCATACAAACAAGCCACATCCATACTTCCAGAAAATGACCAGAACAAAGAACAGCTAAGAGAAGAAACAATCTTTGCCCTGGCCATGTGTACCATCAAGCCCAGGGACCCTTACTAATGAAAGCATCCAAGGTCTTTAAAAGCAGTTTGAGAAAGGCATATTCTTGGCAGCATTTAGTGCCAAACTGCCTAAGACTTTGGAGATCAAGTCAATGCTTTACAAATTGTAGCCAAAAGGCAGCCAGTACAGACATAGAGAACATCACTCTAAAGGGCGGCTCAGAACAAATCCCCCCTCCACGATCAATAAGTTGCTCTCTCTTTAACAGACCTTGTTCTGGATGCAGCTATGCGATAGGAGGCCTCGTGCTCCACCATCCTGTTGGAAACAGCCCGATTCAGGACGGCAGCCAGAACAGCGCCATGCACTGACCCTGAGAGGGGAGCGGGTTAGTGCAGTAATATCACTTTAGTCAAACTCACTTCTGCCCAATGTCCAACATTCCTACCACCCCAGTTTCTAGCAGTTGCCGCCTCAAACTTAAAACCCTTTCTTTAGTAGAAACAAAGGTGCTCAGGTTTTTACTTCCAGCTGCTAGTAGAGAGGCAGCATCCACCATCAACAGATACCGTCAACAAATACCAAATGGCAATAATTCTCTGAAAGCAGCAGTTAGCCATCCCAGTATTTTCAGAGATTTAGATACTCCCATTCTTAGAAGTTATCATGGGCCAAATGCTAACTGTGCTTAGAACAGAAACACACGGATTTTTGCCCCAATTTATATCCCAAATGTAGAATTCCCTATCATTTAGACTGGAGGATTACAAGTTAACTTGGCTTTCAAACATGCACGGTGACATTAATCTGTGTGAAAGACACAAACTGTGCTCCAATTCTGAAGTCAGTGTAACAATGCCAATCTAAAAAACAGCCAATCCAGAGAACTAGAGGTACACTTTTAAGGAAAATATTTAACTTGCTCCTTTATAGATTATGGGTCCACTTTTTTTGAGAAATAAAACCCAGTTTTTTTTGCCCCCACTATGATGTTTCTATTAATACATCCAGTCTTCACCACTGATTTAGAGCGGAACTCAGAAGTTTATAAACATCTGTGGCAAAATCTACCTCTGTAGTAGCTGTGAAAAGGATTCAGGTAAAAAAAGTTTTTACCTAGAACTAAAAGATCTGCAACAGAAGTGACAGGTTTTTTTTTTCACATAATCTTTCCAGAGGTTGTAACTAGGCTTTTAATTTAAATCCCCTAAGGCAGCGGTTCCCAACCTTTTTGGCACCAGGGACCTTTTTTGTGGAAGACAGTTTTTCCAAAGACCAGGGTGATGGGGGGGGAGGGGTTTGGATGATTCAAGCGCATTGCATTTATTGTGCACTTTATTTCTGTTATTATTACATCAGCTCCACCTCCGATCATCAGGCATTAGAGCCCGGGGTGGGGGGGGGCCCTGCCCTAAAGTTCTTATAATTGAAATATACTGTGCTTCTCTATTCCCTTAAGGATCCAGGGCAAAGAAAATTGAAAGAAGATTAAATTCTACCACTCTACTACACTTTGGCTTTGGAGAGGCCAAAAGCTTAAAGATTTTCTAAGATCTCCAAAACATTACTGAGATGTGTTGCCAACATTTCCCAGAAAACCAGCCCCCGCAAAAGTGTTTTGTTTTGAAACAAAGAGGAGGGCAACTTGGGGTCCTCATTGCTGAGCTCCTATCAAGGGATATAGCTGATATACAACTGTACTCCAATTTAATGCTTGTTTATATATTGGGGGAAAAACGAAACATCTGAACTCTTACATATCATTCCCAATTCAACTGCCTGAGTTTTTACTTGGGAATAGCTTCTTTAGGGTCTTCCAATGCAAACTTGTTTGCTAACTCAATAGTGGTTCAGTTCACTGCTGCCGGTGGAGAGGAAACATCCTGAAAGACCCAGGTAAACTCAGATTCTGCTGCTTTCTTTCAGAAGTCATACAATGAGGAAGCCTATGGCAGCCATTAACACATAAAGGTTCAAAAGATGCCCAAAGTGGCACTCTTAAGAGGCCCCCTTCATTAGGAGATGACTGAAAAGGCTTTATGGAAAAATGTGACAAATTGGTATTTAGATTGTATTTTCTGTAAAACTGCAACTTATTATCCAATGCTAAACTTTCTCTTGTCATCTGGAAAAAAAACAGAGCTGGTTATAAAAATATCTGTACGTACGTACCGTACGCCGTTGAGTGCTTTTTCCAGGGGCCCAGGCTAAGAACATGAAAAACCAAATAAAGGATCCTTTTCTTCCAATAAAGACATTAAAAAAAAAAAAATCTCATGGATCATCGCGTTACTCAGATATCTGCTTCCTGAAGTAATTAAACTCACTATATTAAAACAAACATTCCTTTCAAGCCTACTCCCCCCAGTTAACCGATTTCCATATACTTATTTTGGCCCCTACCCTTTTATTCAATTGCATATTAAATAGGCAAGAACATGCAGTATTATACTAGAATACCTCTGCACTTTGTACCTGAGTTTAATTGCACTTTTTACATTTTGCTTGTTACTTGTCAAGAGAGAACCCCGATTTCCCCAACACTGTCCATTCACGATCCCCTCCCTCATCAAATGAAAATAATTAAGAATATTTTTAAAGCTGTCTGAAGTGCAACAGCTAATAATGAAAGCCAACTATTACATTTTAAGTAAGTTTCTAACCTTAACAGAAACACTCATTGTTGCAAACACCACTCACCTTTCATCATACAGTGCTTTTACTGTTAAAACACTTTCACATCTTATTACCTCATTCTAGCCTCACTACCATCCTGTGAAGGAGGTACGGCAGGGATCATTCATTCTATTTTATAAGTGGGGAGAATGAAGCGTTGAGAGGTTAAAACACTTGTCCAAAGTCATACGACAAGTTAACGGTAGAAAGTATCTACAACTTGTGCCCTGTGCTTTAAAGAGTAGCTAAAGGCCAAGACAACACTGGCTGAGGCCAGAGATATCTGACGCACCATTTGTAATCTACTATTTGCAAACTTTCTTACCCTTTTCTGGTCAATTTTTCCTCTTCTCCATTTCTTTTCTGTTTTCTAGGTTTAGTAGAGGACCCTTAAGTACTTCTTAACAACCCTTTTAGTGGCACTCAGAGAAAAAATGGTCTTAATTTATGAACCTGAAAAGCGGCTATAAACGTGCGGTCCAAGATGATAGGGTCAACAAAAAACTTGAAGAACAGCGCTGTACAACAGAACTTTCTGTGACGTTGGAAACGTTCCATACCTGCACTAACACACTAACCACTAGCCTCATATGACTTCTGAGTACTTGAAATGTGTGCAGCACAACTGAGAAACTGAATTTTAAAATTTATTTAATTTCAATTTAATAGCCACATGTGGCTAGTGGCCACCATATTAGCACAGTCCTAGACTCTTCAGTCAACCTCTTGTGGTATTAATGACAACATATGTATGTTTATTAATGACATAAGTAATTCGATACAACACCCTTACTGGAATCTCCTCAGAAGCAGGACCATCATTCCCATTCAACCTACCTAATATTTTTAGAAATTTCCTTTTTTCCCCTTAGGGTTAAATAGTAGTAGGTGGAGCAGAATAGTCCAAGGCATGGCTTTTGGCTCTGCTTGTATAATTCAGACCGAACAAACCTGAGTATTCAAAAGATACTCCCCCAAATCCAGATTCACCACCCAGATTTATAATATAGGGATTCTTCGAGATGTCTTCACTGTTCTTTCCCACCACAGCCCCATCACCCAAGGCAGTGAAGAGTATAAACCCTAAGCACTGAAACTCTCAAAAGGCTTCCTTGTCATAACAGAAAAAGCAGGTAACCCACAGACCTTTATCCTCCCTTCTCCCATGAGATACTCATTTGCCCAGGCAGATTAAACTTCCAACAGCACCCAAATGAATGATGGCCTGCAGGATAAAGTAACCCACCAATTGCAATTCTACAAAGTTGCTGAGGAACATCTCGGCAAATCTGGAAAGGAGAAGTGTTTGCTTCTCCAAGAGTAAGCTGTGCTTAAGCGTGGTAAACACACAATCTTTCAATCATTTCCGGCTAAAACGGAATGGAAGACACCACCCTGCCAGCCCCACAGTCCTGTGTTCTTGCCTCTGTCTAGAGCTAGGCCCCACTCAGTTTTGCCACCCAGGCCCCAGAGCAGTTCACCTTGAAACTCTGTGTTGTCAAGGCCCCTGATGGCCTCCACTGCATCCTCTGCCCGCTCCATGTGTACGAAAGCATAATCTTTCACGATGTCACATTCGATGACCGGACCATACTCCTCAAACTTGGCCCGAAGCTCTTGGTTGGTACAAGTAGGACTGATGTTGCCTACATGCAACTTGGTTGAAGCTTTGCTCTTATTCTTGCTGGCTTCCACGTTGATGTTCACCCCGTGCAGCTTGTAGTGGTGCAGGTTGCGTATGGCATCCTCGGCCGCTGTCTTGTCCTCTATGTGCACAAAGCCGTAGTTCTTAATGATGTCACACTCCAGCACCTTCCCATACTGCTCGAAGAGTGAGCGGATCTCCTGCTCTGTGGCCTCCCGGGGCAGGTTTCCAATGAACAGCTTCACCATCCTGACAAGAGCCTGGAAAAGAAGAAAGGAGATTTCCAAAAGTTAGGGGTGGAGGGAAAAATTTCAGTGCATTGCATTTTGGATTAATCCTCCAAAGTTCTTGGCACCATCAAGATCCTCACAGAGACGTTCATTATGTTTTCAACAGCGGGAGGAAAGGTTTACTCTTATGGAGTAGTGTGAGTTGTGTGTGACACGCGAACAGGTCGAGTGTCAGCAGGCAGTGCACAGCCCATCATCTCCGTTAAATGAGGCGCATTTTAGGTAACAGGGTTAGCTGAAAATACTCTCTTTGGGGGGCAGGTAAGAGAAGAGTCCAAGCAGGGGGCAAGAGGCATATATCTTACTGCCCCTAGTAACAAGGTTTTGGAGGGAAATCTGTGTACCTCTCTTCCGTGCCGCATCACCTTTCAAGATACTCTAAGAATTAAAAGGCCCCCTTTGCCCCAACCTGGGACACCCACGCCCCAGCGGCCCAACTCCAGTTCCTTCGCCCCAACAAAGACTCGACCCGACCTCTGCCCCGCCCCCTCCGGAAACCCGGCCCCGCCTCCTCCCGGTGTCTTCCCCGGACCTCCCGCAGCAAGAGGAGCAACCCTAACCCTGGGCCAACCCCGTCAGCCAGGGGCCGGCCCGGCCCTCTCTCAGGCTCCCCACACACCCACAAGAACCCCTCGCACCTCCGGGTGGCGGCGACGGCGGCAGCGGCTCCCGCGTCAGAGAGAACCCTACAAAATGGCGACGGCCGCTCAAGCCTCAGCGTGACCGGGCCCTTTCTCGCGCGCCAGCTCACGCACGCGCGAGTGCGCGCTGCCCCGCCTCACCCTCGCGGGAGCCGGACGACCAATCCCGCGGCCGCATACAAATGGCTGCCCTGGGCTCTGCTCCCAGTCGCGCCAATACGGGGGCGGGGCCAGCTGGTGACGGTACTGCGGGAGGAGGTCAGCCCGCCCCCTGGCCTGACTAGCCAATCACCACCTTGGAAGGTGGGCGGTCGTCGCTCAAGCGTCAGAAGGTTTCTGGACGCAACCACTGACTTGGTGAAATCAGAAGCCCGGGAGAATCACTAAGCACCACAATGGATCGTGCTGTTGGGCCATGTGGGGGAGCGGGGGGTGGGGGAGGAAGGCGGCTGCGGATGACAAAGGGTTATCTCACTGGGCCCCCTAAAAGGGGGTTTTCTTAGCGCCTCCCAGCCTCTATGGCAGTTTGGGACAACATTTTAGAAATAGAGGCGCGCCACATTTTAAGCCAACCTAGTCTTTTTTTGGTAGAGCTTTTATACATAATTTAAAATTTTTAAATTGCAAACACGTTATGCATTGGTGAGGAAAAGGAGAACCAAAGATGGCAGAGCTGAGATGGCTCTAAGAGGCATTCTATCCTAGCTGCACTTAATCAGTCAAGTTTTGTCACATATACATGAAGGCTGGTTTTCTCTCCCTAGCTAGAGAATTAAGCTCTAATTCTGTGTCCTTCACAGTTCTGATCCGTGGTGAGCACACCAAAGGAGGCCCAGAGAGGTTTCTTGTTTTGGGGGTAGGCCAGGTCTCCATGTCCTCACCAAGCTGCTGGAGGACTGGGCAACTGAGTCCCTGAGCACTTTCCGGCTTTCAAAATTCAGCTGTGGTCCAAGGGCACCTCCTGGTGGTAAAAAGGAAGATATTGAGGTGGATTACTCTCTGTCACCTTTGAACAAAGAATAGAAGTTTATGGAGATTGATGGACTGAGCTTATCTCCAAGTAGAGCATGCCAGGGTGGTTGTCAATCATCATTACTCCTTGGTATGCTTTCTGATGCTGTTAGGCACAAATTCTGCAGGCTGACCTCTTCCTCTCCAACTACTTTGTTATGTTTCTTTCACTGAATTCTTTGTTTCCCAGCAATTTCAGAAGAGGCACTGTCCTTCCAATTCTGATAACAATCATGCTTGTCTCCCACCTAATTCTATTTACCTCTCCCCTTTCCTTCTCCTCTTGGTCGTTTCCACTTTCTCTCTACACTCAGACTTTTAAAACATGTATAGGGACCTCCTTGTCCATATCTGAAATAGCTTTCACTCATCTTCACTGTTATGGTTTTTTAAGTTGGGTTTCTTCCCTGTGTTCCAGGACAGACTTCCACAAATAGAGTCTGAACCTGCTGTCGCCCACCTTCGTGCACTGTGTTTCGGGTTCTGTCCTCCTCTCCAATGCCCCAAGTTTTCTGAGGTCACCAAAACTAATGTCCTTTTAACAGTTTTCACCCTTCTAAAATTTTCATTCATTCACCATCCTTTTCTCCTGTGTTTTTATGCTGTTCCTCCTCATAGCTCTGACTATACCATTACATCTCCTTCCCCCCATTTATTTCCCTGTTCTTATCTATTCCCTCTTACCTCCCTTCCCCTTCCCTCATAGGCAACCAGTAAATGAGTTTAGTGTGTATTGTTTGTTTTCTTGCAAGACATGTCTTTTTTTAATTGAAGTATATTTTTTTAAATGTCTTGTAAGACATGTCTTTTTTTAAAATTGATTTACAATGTTGTGTTAGTTTCTGGTATACGGCAAAGTGATTCAGTTTTATATATACGTATATTATATTTCATATTATTTTCCATTATAGGTTATTATAGGATATTGAATATAGTTCCCCGTGCTATACAGTAGAACCTTGCTGTTTATCTATTTTATATACAGTAGTTTGCATCTGCTAATCCCAAACTCCTAATTTATCCCTCCCCCACCTTCCCCTTTGGTAACCGTAAGTTTGTTTTCTACAAGACGTGTCCTTTTAGTGCACATTTACTTTTTCCCTTTAAAAAAAGTTTTATTGTGGAAAATTACAAAAAGGCACAAATAGAGAATATTATGCACTCCTGTGGACCCCTTACTCAGCATTGACAGTTATCAGCATTTTGCTGATCTTATTTTGTGTAGCCCCTCTACTTTTTGTGTGGGTGGGTGGGTGGGCTGGAGTTTTTTAAGGCAAACCCCAGACATAATGTCATTCGCCTGTAAGGTTTTCACTAACTGCCTCTAAAGCATCAGCTCTATGCTATGCTAATTTCATCTAATATTTATATTTAAAATTTTCCTAGATTGTCCCAAGTATCCCTCTTTACATTTGGTTTTTCCTAATATGGATATAGACAAAGCCCGCCCATTGTTCATTTGGGTTAATTAATTTTGCGAATGTTTATGTAAATTGTGTTGTATAGCTCACTGTTTCTCTTTTCACTAAGCACTAAGTTACTGTGTGGTGTCTAACTACTGAGTAATACTCCACAGTGTGCAGCCACCATGTTTTGCCTAATCCATATCCCAGCATAGCACACTCAGGTTGCCTCCCAACTCCTTAGTGTTGCTATAAACAAGGTTGCAGTGGACATCCTTATGTTAATTCTGAGCGCCCTAATGGTTTGGTGTGAGAATTTGAGGGGAGATAAGCCCAGGGGTGGGATTGCTGGGTTGTTGGGTCATAGGGTATACTTGGAACTAACTTGTCCGAGTAGTGCCAGGTTGTCCTCTGGAAACCAGTCTACCCTCCCACCTGAGGGGCCCTGCATCTCAGTGTCTCTGCCAATGTTTGCCATTATCCAGTTGTCTAATTTTGGGCAGTATAATAGGTATAAAGTGGTATATCATTGTTGCTTTAATTTGCATTTCTCTGATTACTAATGATTCTAAGCATCTCTTATTTCTCTGAAGTGTGGGAGGTTGACTCTTCTGTAACTTCCCTATTCGTATCTTTTCCCCATGTTTCTTGTCAGGTTACAGTCTCCTTTTTGTTTGCAGGATTTTCTTGTATGTTCTAGATATTAATCTCTTATTGGTTTCAAATATCTTCTCTCATTCCACCAAATTATTAACTTTGTCCATGGAGTCCTTCCTTCACTGAACAGAAATCCTTACTTTTTTTTTTTTTTTTTTTTTGCAGTACGTGGGCCTCTCACTGTTGTGGCCTCTCCCGTTGCGGGGCACAGCCTCCGGACGTGCAGGCTCAGCGGCCATGGCTCACAGGCCCAGCCGCTCCGCGGCATGTGGGATCTTCCCGGACCGGGGCACGAACCCGTGTCCCCTACATCGGCAGGCGGACTCTCAACCACTGCGCCACCAGGGAAGCCCGAAATCCTTAATTTTTTTATGTGATCAACTTAATCAATTTTTGTCTTAAAGTTTGTGCTTTTGAAGTTTTGTATAAAATGTCCTTTTCCATCCCCCTGAGTCACAAATATATTCTCCTACATTTTCTTCTATTAACATTAATGTTTTTACCTTTCACATTTAGGTCTGTAGTCCGTTTAGAGCAGTGCTGTCCAAACAGAAATATAATGTGAACAACATATACAAAATTTTCTGGTAAACACATTTAAGAAATAAGAGGAAACAGTTGAAATTAACTTTAATATTTTCAAAATCCAATATAGCTAAACTATTTCAACATATAATCAGTATAAAAATTATTGAGATGTTTTAAATTCTTTTTTCTCCTCTTCAGTTTTCAAACTCCGGAAAACATTTTACACTTACAGCACATCTCAATTTGGACTAGCCACATATCAAGTGGCTAGTAGCCGCGTATGGCCTGTGGCTACCATACCAGATAGCACAGATCTAGAGTTCACCCTTGGAGGTGGGGTTAGGTAAGAACGCAAACATTTTTCTCTAAATAATTAATCCATTTTTATCTGTCCCTATTTCCCCATTGATTTGTGGAACCCGCATTATTGTATTTTTGTGCTCTAATCTGCCTCATATCCGTCACTCCGTTCCATTCTGTCATCTTTCCTGGAACTTTCCCTGTCTTCCACTCATTCCTGAAGGTGTCTCCCAAGACTTACTTCCTGACCTTATGCTTATGCTTATCCTCTTCTATGTCCTGTCCTTAAGGATTCCTGGACTCAGGTAGCTTCAGCTACCATGTGTTCATAAATGCTCAAACCATATTTTTATTACGTCTCCATTCACAATGTCTGACCGCATTCTGCAGGACTGCTTCACTTGGCTGCCCTATTTACAAGTTAAAATGATAACTTCTCCATTGGTTCCTCACGCCCATATACATTTCCTTCTAAAATCTCCACTTATTGCTTTCTCTCCCAACCCACAGGCTTGTCACCATGGAGTACAAATACCCAGGTTCCCTGAGCACGCCGCAATGTGTGATTTTCTCTTCCTTCATACGGTGGAGATTTTACAGTTATACCTGAAGAACAAAAGAAGGTGTCTGTGTAGTGCTGATGTATTTACTCCATTTACTCCCACGACAGATTATTCCAGTTACATTATCCACATGTTTACTTTGGCATACTGAATCTGCTCTTCTTAAGAGAAAGGGATAATTATTCTGTATACTATCCGGTCTACCACATCTCATGTTTGGAAACGTTCTGGGCCTGCACACACCTGACCCTTTGTCACGGCTGATAATAGTCAGGGTCTGCTCAGCCAGGGCCCTTGGCCGATTATGCTAAAGATGGGGCTGCTTTCCTGGAAAGACCTCTGAGCCCCAAAAAGAAATGGTTGTTTGTATATGGGAAGCAATGAAAGAACAAGGCTTTTCCTATAGGAGGCCACCAAGGCAAATACTATTGCCCTGAAACCTCCAGTTGCCGAGCCAGAGACAAGAGGGAAAGCCCCCTGCTCCTTTTTTTTATACTTCACTGGATCTAAAATACATTCTCCTGTGTTTTCGTTTACACACTTAGGATGTATCTCGTGGCTTCCCAGGGTGATCTCATTCTATTGGTCAGTGGATTGGGAACCTGTTACTTATCTGATCCCTGTCTGAACTCCCTCGATCCCCTATTGGGGTCCTCTCTATTGAGACAGAAGGTGGGAGTCAGTAATCACCACCTACATGCTCCACTCTCCACTGTCAGGCTGAGCAGTGGCTGAGACTAGGCTGTCTTCCATTCTTGAAAACAGTTGAGAGAATCACGAGTGAAGAAACTTGTGCACCAGGGAAGCAGTCATTCACTGCCTCAATACTGCTTGTTAATATCATGGTGAACATCTTTGGTCTGAAAAGAGGTTTGACATTGGTCATCCCAGCAAAGAGGAGGTCATTGTCATGGGGAAATGAGGAGACTCACAGGATAATGTGGTTCTTGGTGGGATGCTGGGGGCAGAGCGGGAAACCTGACACACAAGAGACCAGGGCCAGAAGGAGGAACAGGGGCATGGGCAGAGAGGCTTGTGGTCAGGAAAGCAAAGACACCCAGAGGCAGTAAGAGAAGCTGAGCTGTTTAATCACCTCCTTGGCCAGACTCAAGGCCGTGGTTGCCCCTGAACAACTCACACCCAGAAGCTGTTGAGAGTTGCTGGAGATGGAGGGGCTGCTTGAGTCAGAGGATGAGGGAGGATGGGAAGGGGGAGCTTCGGCGTCTCTGACCTGTCATCTGGCAATCTTGCCCCCGGGTCCTGTTTCAGCTCTGAGAGGTTCCTGGCTGGTCCCCAGGGGCAAGGACTGGATGGCGTGCCCTAGCTGTGGCGGGAGAATGACCCCGAGGCAGGGGCAGCCATTCCCCACGTGGCCTATGGAGAGGGTGCTGTGCTGTGGTGGGGATAGAGGCGTAAGGCTAGGGGAGGAGGGAAGAAGGGGGAGAGTGGAATTGGGGGTTGCCTGGGCCCCACCACCAGTCTGGAATTAAATAGCAGAAGAGAAGGGTTGCCCTTGGGGACACTGACTTGTCTCCAGAGACAGTTCCTGGTGATGGGTTGACCTTGGCAACAGACCCTAGCAGCAGGCAGTTGTCCTGACAAGAGGGTGGTCCCTGTCAACGGTCCCTGGCAGTTTCCTGGACAGAGGGAGGCAGCTGGCCTGGGAGTCTCGCCCCCAACTACTTGTTCTTCTTGAAGAAGCTGAAGCGCTTTTCTCGCTCTCGTTCTCTGCCATCCTTGCTGCGAAGTACGACAGGTCCCTCCGCCCCGACCGGTGATACTGGGGGCATGGTCATGGCCCGGGTCATGCCCCGGGTGGCAGTGGGCACCGCTGGCTCTTCAGGCTCTCCAGAGGCCGAGGACACAGTGGCAATGGCTGCATTCACCACCCTCAACCACGAGCTCATCTCTGCCTGCAGTGGGGCGCGGAAAGACAACTGGTCAGCTTGGAGGATGCTATGCTTGGGTGGCTGGCTCGCCCACAGTGGGGAAGTGGAAGAGGAGGAGGTGGAGATGACTGCCTCATCTCACTGAAGAAAAAGACCCCTTTAAGGTAGGGAACATGTTTTGGTGTGGCCTTCACAAACATCCAGTTGGCACATTGTGGGTTGTCTGATATCGAAGGATGAGACACTTCAGACAAGGAAAAAGAGAGAGGCGAGGGAAGAAAGAAATGTGCATCTGGAGGTTCTAAGCCTTCCCAGAGAGAAGGGGGACACGGGAGGAGAAGGGACAGCTCACCTCATCCTTGGCCTGGAATAAATATTCTTTCCCATCCTGTAAGCTGTTGGGAGAGAGAGAAACTTCAGGGCAGAGCTGAGACTCTGATTGGCCAGATCAGGGCTGGTGAGAGCTCACTATCACCCAGAGACCAGGCTGGAGAACATGCCCGGGAACCTCAGAGCCAGATCAGACACGTTCTGCACGTTCTTCAGATTCCCGGGACTGTGCCAAAGCACATCCTTCCTGATTGGCTGCCGAGGACCAGGGGCAGGCAGGGGCAGGCCCCCGGAGGTACCTGGAGACAGGGGAGCGCCAGCATCCTGCCTCAAGACCTCCCAGGCAGGATAACTTTTCAGCTTGACAGGCCTGCGTCTTGGTGCTTCGGCTCCCCTTAGTGTGGAATACAGCCAGATCCCCCGCCTCTCCCTCCTTGACCTCTCTGTCCCCTAGTGGCTCCCCTGTGCCTTGTATCACTGTGACCTTCCCTCCCATCCTGAGGGCACGTTCCATTCCTACCCCAGCTTGAAGACATGCTTGCGCTTTCGATAATCAAAGGCAACGCTGCCCTGGGCTCTGGCCAGGCTGACAGGCACTTCTCCGTGGTACGGCACTCCTGCACTGGCTGCCTTAGCATCCTTGTAAAAGCCAAGGCTCCCACGCCGCAGGACACAGTACACGTTCTGCCATGACCTGGGAGAGACATGGTGCAGGTGACGAGGAGGAGACGCAGGTGACCAACTGGCCTTTGAGGGGCCAGGCATCCTGGGAACAGCTTGGCTGTCCAGGGACTCCCAGTGCCACTCCTGTCATTAGGCCCATCGTCTCTACACCCTCCCGGCCCTCACCTGAGGCCCCACCTGCTCCTGAGTCCTACCCCCCACCCCCCCAGTCTAGGAAGAGGTTCTGGGCAAGCCTCTCCAGAAGGCAGGAGCCGCAGAGGCCGCAGGCACCACATGACCAGACCCAGTACCTGTTGGCGGCCTTCTTGCCAAAGGCCTCCATCTCCTGTTTGCGGCACAGCAGCCCCTCCATCTGTTCTTGGGCAGAGAGCTCCGGGCCGCGGGTGGGCAAGGTGGCGACCCGGGCTGACTCGGATGACCTGCTCTGGGGCATTATAGGAGGGGTCGGGCCCCGTGTCCGGGTCGGCTTCTCTCCCCGTGGCCCATTGGCCTCGTCCCCAGCACCAGACCCCTGTGAAGAAAATGGTGTCTATGTCAAAAGATAAGATGGGGGCTTCCCCAGTGGTGCAGTGGTTGAGAGTCCGCCTGCCGATGCAGGGGACACGGGTTCGTGCCCCAGTCCGGGAGGATCCCACATGCCGCGGAGTGGCTGGGCCCGTGAGCCATGGCCGCTGAGCCTGCGCATCCGGAGCCGTGCTCCGCAACGGGAGAGGCCACAGCGTGAGAGGCCCGCGTAATGCAAAAAACAAACAAACAAACAAAAAAGATAAGATGGGAGACACCTAGCCTGCAGGTCACGAAGCTGGAAGTCCATGAGCTGGTCTTGCCACCTCCACGTTTCCTCTGAGTCTCTGCCCTCTCCTGACCCCGCTGTCCCCACCGCCCAGCTCATACCCCCATTTCATCCCATATCTCCCAGTTATCGATACCCACACCTCCAGGAGAAACTCACAGGCCCTTCTGGGAAGCTGCCCTGCTCAAGTCTCTGTTGTTCCACCAGGGGCTACAAGGACAAGACGCTGTAAGCAGATGTGCAAGGGGAGGGGCTAAGATTCTGATAGGGGCACTTGGGGCAGCAGGAGTCACCTGTGGGGCTTCCGCATCTGTGCAGACGCCGTTCACGCTGGCTGGCTGTGAGGGTGCTGGCAGGCGGGGCTGGGCTCTGGAACGGCAGAGGTGACAGAGAACGTGAAGTCTGTGTGTTGCTCTGGCTCAGCCCCCTCTTCCTCCCCGAAGTTTCCCACTTCTCACCTGTCCCAGGTAGCATCGGGAGCTGTCTGGCTGTCCAGCAGGGCCCCTTCAGGCACACTGGCTGTGGGCTCTGGGGCAGGGGGCTGTTTCCTCCGTTCCTCTTCCTCCCTCTTTCTTTTCCGCTCCTTCTCCTGCTCCTCCAGCTGTCAAAAAATTCTGAGGTCAGAGCATGGAAGGTCCCAGGCATTGGGGAAAGCTGAAATGTCTCAACTCTAGTCTGATGAAACAGGAAGAATGGAGACTATAATTCCAGATGAAGGTGGGGATTAGGAGTTATGGGGGGGATGGTGTCTCTTAGTGCCACCCAGGGAAACGGATGGCTCCTAAAGTTCAGGTGACAACAGGGCACTCTTGGCTTACATCTGGGAGATGCGGGGGCAATGGCAAGAGAAGAAATGCCTTCTTCAAGCAGGAGAGGGCGCAAAGTCTGGGGCAGTGGGATGGGCCCGGTACTCCTGGGGTCCTGTAGCCCTCACCGCCGTGAGCTTCTCCAGTGCGCTGAAACGCTCCTCCCAGGCCACTGCGGACTTCTGGAAGGCTTCGTGCCGCTTGATGAGGCTCTCGACTTCATCGACTGTGCAACCCAGCTCAGCACTTCGCACCAACGGCTCCTGGCTGCACAGCCAGGCCTCCGCCATACCTGCGTCTCTCCCAAACACGAGCACCTCCAAAACTGCAGGCAAATCAGGGTGGGCAACGACAGGGTATTATAGCCACAGCAGCTTCAAGCACAGGGACACAGAGAAAGCCACTGCCCCAGAGCAGGAGCTTAGGGCAGAGCCAGGCAGTGCCAAGGGTGGGGGCCTTGAATTCCACGCCCCAGATTCCTGGTCTCACCTACTCTGGAAACTACAGGGTGCAAGACCCCCAGCCGCTCCCTCACCGCCCAGGGCCTGGAGCGGGCGCAAGACCCCCAGCTGCTCCCTCACCGCCCAGGGCCTGGAGCCCTCAGTTTCCTACAGCGGCTCACCAAGCTGCAGCCAGTCCATCTTCTCCTGCCACTTGTCAGCTGTCTCCTGGCGCCGTGCCTGAAGCTGAGACAGCTTCTCTGAGATCTGGGTCGGGGCGGGGTGGGGGTGGGGGAGATGCGAGTTAGCACCCAGAGGGGCCTTGCCAGGGTCCCTGGGGGTCTCACATGGGGGAACCAGTGATTTCTGATTTCAAGAGGCAGACAGTTCTGGGAGAAAGACAAAATGGGGAGATCCCTGAACAGCACTAAGGGGAAGGTGAAAGGTTTCTGCAAAGAAAGAATGAAAGGAAGCAGGAAGACTCAGAGGAGAAATCAGCATTCAGCCCTCCCCCGTGAGGGCGCCCGGCTACGCCCAGGCCTCACCCACCTCCTCAGCCGCGTAGTGGCTCCTGGCGAGCAGCCCCTGTCCCATGTCGATGCAAGAGGAGAAGCGGTCAGCCCTGGCCTCTATCTCCGCCTTGATGCCTTGGTGGTTCTTGATGACCAGGTCTGCGGAGGAAACATCCCTGGGGGCACGGAGACCACATCACCCGCTGCCCACAACCCTATCCCGGCCACCAGCCCATAACCCCCGGAGGCCGCCAGGCTCTGTGGGCCTCACCGGGGCCGCTCCTGGGCATCCATCTGCAGGTTCACTCCGTCCATCCACAGCATCAGCTCCCGGACAGCCTTGAAGAAGCGGAACTTGTCCGTGGTGTCCAGCAGCAGCTGGCGGCGGGCAGCAGAGCTTCCCTGAAGCTGCGCCCAGGCCTCGGCCACGGCCTGCATGTGGCGGCCGATCTCCTCGGCCTTGTCTCCGGCGTAGGCCTTCTGGAGCCGGTGGCCGTCATCCTGCACCTGCTGGGCCTGCCGGGGCCCAGGTCAAAATCAGGCAGAGTTGGGAGACTCTGAGGGGCTGCAACCTTCCTCAGTCCTGACCTCTGCTCAACACCTCCTGCCCATTTTACCAGCCGGAGAAGCAGGGGGAGGAGTTGGCGGGGGGGGGAGGTGCTGGGAAAGATGAGGGCTGGAGTCCAGAGTAGGCCCTGTCATACTCTGCCCTATAGGGTCTTACCAGGGGGCCTGGGCTTAACCTGGGGATCAACCCTTTAAAAGGGTCACTAGCCGATGAGCTTTCAGAGGCCTGTCTAGCTCGTGGGGGACCTCAAAGATTGCTAGAGTGAGAATTTCGGCCTGAAGAAGGGACTTCGGTGGGGGGCCGACTGGGCTTAAATGGCTGCAGGAAGGATCTATGCTTATTTTGTGTAGGTCTAACACCTGAGTGGGACCAACAGATGGATTTTAGTACACCATGAAGAACCTTCTACCCACCAGGACCATGTGAAAATGTCACGGGCCCTCAAAAAGCCTGGTCATTACAGGTGTGGACGGGGTGGCTAGATGTCCCCTGGCCAGAGACGGTTTCCTGGAACCATCCTAACGTCATCCCTACGTGGCCCTGCAGAGGATGCGATCCCTCCAGCCTCCCCATGTTCCCCACGGAGTCTCCTCTAAGCCCCCTCATCCCTCCCCCCTGCCTCCACGCATGCTTGAGTCAGACCTGGGCGCTGAGGGCCTGGATGTCGTGCTCAAAGGCACAGTGCCGGCGCTGCAGGGCCTCGGCAGCGTTGAGGTCCCGGCCGGTCCCGTCTGGAAGCTGCTGCTGCTTGTGCTGCACCCGCGCCAGGGCCTGGCGTGCACCGTGCAGGAAGCGCTGCAGCTCATGTGCAGCTGCCAGCACCTGACCCCGCGTGTCCAGCAGCTCGAGCAGGTCAGCCCAGGCCTCGTTGAGACTGTCCTTCCACTCAGCCACCGTGGCCCGGGCGGCGTGGCCCCCGGCGATGAGCCCGTTGGCCAAGGCGTTGGCGCTGTCCACGCGCTCCTGGCCGATCGTGCTCGTGTCCCGGGAGAACTCTCGGAATTTGTCCCGGAGCATCTGGCAGAGGAAGCGGTTGCACGGACAGCACTGTGACGTGGTCCCTGACTTGCAGGGTAAGTCCTTTCACCCCAGACTGAGAACCCACTTCGTTCCCTGGGCCACATGGGCCAAAGTAGATTTCTTCAGCAGGGCCGAGTTAGGCAGCAGAAGCAACTGGTTCCCACTGACCCTGGATTTGACTGACACGCCCAGCCTCCAGCCCCCAGCAAAGGGGTACTTGGAACCTTGAGTCTTCAGACAAGGATACCCTAACTATGGTCCATATTTCGGCACCAGTGAGTGTCCAACCCCCAAACCGTGGGGAGGAATCTCAAGTCCCCAGTGTACTGGTGAGTTCTGCTGGAAAACAGTGATCGGTCATTTCCTTTTGGCCCTCGTCTACGCGCAGCCCCACGTCCTCCTTTCTGCACGATTCTCCCAATTAAATATCTCAGAACCCAGAGGACAGCGTCTGCACGACCTGGTCTTGCACCCCTGCCCCTTGGTGCTCCGCCCAGGATGAAGTGCTAGTCTCCCAGGGGCCCTGGTGGACAGCCAGATAGCACCCGATGCTACCTGGGACAGGATGAAGTGCTAGTCTACCCTTCCTGGAGCCCACCTGTGGCCGCTGTCCTCCCCGCACTCACAGTCACGTGCTCGTAGTCCTGGCCCAGCTCGTGCGAGGCTGCCACCACCTCGCGCTCCTGGATCCACTGCTCCAGGTCGTCCAGCTCCCGGCGGAGCTGGCACAGACGCAGGTGCTCGTGCAGGCGCTCCCGCCGCTCTCCCGCCAGCTCCTTCAGGCTGGCGTACAGCTTGTCCACCTGGGCTTGGCGGATCGATATGCGCGTGCTGCGGGGGAGGGGAGGACACACTGCTCTGACCCCTAGTCTATCCCAGAGAGTCCTGCCCCCCAACTGCTCGCCAAGTCCCTGCTTCTCCAGCTTTCTAGATGGTCCTGTACACATGCAGTACGGAAGGCTCTGCAATCTCTGGGCCTTTCTGGAACTGGCTCCCCTCTCCCCCAGGGACTGGCCTGGGGGTCCAGGTGCTATGCTCACCTCTCTGGGTGCTCGTGATCAATCATGTCTTGGCTGCTGGCTGCCAGCTGGTGGATGGTCTGGGCGTAGTCGGCCAGGGCTTGTTCCAATACCTGATGCTTCTTCACCTCTGCCTGGGCACTCAGCTCGTCCTGGGGGAGGGGAGAGGGGCAGCAGAGAGTAGGGGGAGGGGGGAGGAAAGCCGTAGCCTGCGCTCTGGTCTGGCTCTCACCTTGGCCTTCTCCTGGCCCATCATGTGTAACTCCTGCTCGCCCATCCAGGCCTCTGCCTCCGCGGCGTCGCGGTAGAACTGCTGAGCCCGCAGGGCCTCCTCCAGTCGCTTCCCTCGAAGCTCCAACTCGTGGCCCAGGCGCTTCCACATTTCCTGTAGCTCAGCCAGCTCCGGGCCTGCTGCCGCCGCACCCAGAGCGCGCTGTCGCTCCGTTAGGTCCGCGATCCGCGGCTCGTGGCCCTGGATCTCCTTCTGCAGGGTCTGTCCGTGGCGACAGAGGAGGAGACGCTGAAAGGCTTGCCGAGGGACCCCCTCATCCTACATCCCCCCTTACGCTTACTCAACAGCAAGCCCCCCTTCACACCATTGTTTCTCATCCTCCCTGCGTCCTCTCACCTCCCCTCTTTTCTGGCCCATGACGCCCCTTCAGTCCACACGATCTCCCACCAGGGGAACCCACCCTCCCAAGGTGAGGAAAGGCGAACCACTGAAGTCTAGGATTACACCCAGCAACCAGGGGGAGCCAGAGGAACCCCAGTTCTTAAGAAAACACACTTTCAAGTCTGGGGAGGCTCTTGGGACCCTTTCTTCTGCCTTTAGCCTCTGCCTCACCTGGTTTTTCTTCATGAGGAGCTGGACACTGGGCAGGTCCCTGCCATGCTCCATGGAGCTAGCCACGGGGAGCCGCTCTGTCACCCACAACTGGATACGAAAGTGGGGGTTAGTGGAGGTCCGGAGGGCAAAGTCCGAGCTAGGGGTTGGATAGTGGGGACTCCTGGGGGAAGGTTTTCTAGGGCTCCCGGTTCTGGGGCCAAGGGACCTAGAGGGTGTCCCTAGAGGGTTGACTTTCAGTGCCAAAGGGAAGAGAAAACAGAGCACTGCTGGCATTCCCCCCAGCATCCAAGAAGGAGATCAGAGAGCCAAAGACAGCCCCGTCCCAGGCGCCGGAGACTCACGATCTCATCCTCCACATCCCGGTGGAACTGGTGCTGCTCGCGAGAGGCTTGCAGGCGCCGGCAACGCTCCTTCATGGGCTGGCACAGGGCCCTGAACTTCTCCTCCACAGCCCGCGAGGTCCTCTCCACCTCCCCTGCACCCTGGTCTTCCTGGGCCAGAGCTTTTGCCTGTGCCTGGATTGCTTCCACCTCCTTCTCTCGCACAGCCATCTCCCTTTCCAGCATCTGCCAACCGGAAGAGGAAGGAGGTGTTATCACCGTGCCTCCACCTTCAAACTCAGCAGAGACACTGGTCTATATCGAGCCAATCATGAATTCTTATCCCTGGGGCTCAGCCCAGGGAGAGTATCTCTTCATGGCCTACATCAGTGGATCTCAAACTTTAATATATATGAGAATCCAGGGGGTGTGAGAACTGTGCTAGCTATCAATTTACTGTCTCTCAGTCCCCAATCCATCTCAGTTCCAAGTTCATCTTTGCCCATTTTGAGTCACTGGAACTGGACCCTGTAAATGTTTCTCCTTTGCCAGCTGGTGCAACACTAGGCCTTGTCCGTAGAGGGCGCTGGAGGGACACCTGGATGCACAGGCGAGGCGGAGGCTTCTAGCTACGGTTCCAGTGTGCTTTCCTTCTTGCTCCTACGGTACAACTGCCCGCGGTGTGCAGGAGACCCGGTGGCCCTCACCCTCCAGCAGGTTTTGCTGGCATCTCAGTGGCAACTTCCTGATGGCCAGCCTTGGCCTGCCAGATTCAGACCTGCTCTGGTCTGTGACACCCCAGCAAATTTCTACACCATCCAGCGGGCCTCTGCCTTCACCAGTGAGGTCTGAAACTCAGCCTTGGGGTAGGAGGAGGGCATCCCATTCCTTCCTGGGTGCCCCCTCCTCAGTCCTAGAGGCAGTAGCTGCTCCCTACATGTGCTATTCCTGCATTCTTTAGACCAGGGGTCAGCAAACCCCGCCCCTGGCTGGGTTTTGTAAATCAAGTTTTATTGGCACACAGCCACACCAGTCTTTTACGCATCGACTATGGCTGCTTTTACCCTAGGAGGACAGAGCTGAACAGTTGTGACAGAGACTGTATGACCCTCAAAGCTCAAAATACTATTTGGCCCTTTACAGAAAAATGTTTTCTGATCCCTGTTTTGGAGTTCTCTTTACCCCACTGGCAGGTAACCCTCTTTTATTAGTTAGTAGTTCTTTTCACTAAAGTTTCCTTGTTCAAGTTTGTGTGTGGTTTCTGTCTCCCGCCTTTCCTCTGACTGACACACACTCCCAGAGATTCTGACGTTGGTGGCCCGTGGAAGTCGCCTTGAGAAATACCAGTGAAGATGCTGTCTGCGAGGGCTGAGGATGGTCTCGTGAATCTCAAGAGCTACTGACTCCCCCCTCGTTTCTTCTGCTGTTCACCAGTCCCACCAAAGGCCCGCCGCGTACCTGCTGCTTCTTGAGCAGGATGTTGACGCTGGTGAGGTCTTTGCCATAGTCGTCGGAGTGCAGCTGGGCCTGCAGGCTCTCCAGCCAGCTCTCCAGGGCAGAGCAGCTCTGGGCAAACAGCTCAGCTCGGTTGGCATCAAAGAGGCTGCGGGCTTTGGCCTGGGTGGTGGTCTCCAGCTCGTCCCAGCGCCTGTGCAGGTCGTCTAGCTTCTCCCACACCAGAGCTTTCAGCTCCGGCTTCTCCAGAGTCAGCTCCCGCCCTTCCTGGGTGTGGGACAAGGAAGGGGTCAGTGTCAGAATTAGATACCACTGAACACGAGCCGATAGCAGAACAGGGACCTAAAGGGCAGCAGAGACCTGAAGTAAGGGCTATCCTACCGAGTTCTTGGGTGTTCTCCAAGCTTTTTAAGCTCTCCTACCCTCACTGCTGAGTAAACCCTACTCCTTCCTCAAGGTCCCATCAAACCTCGTCTCAGGGCTTCCCTGGTGGCGCGGTGGTTGAGAGTCCGCCTGCTGATGCAGGGGACACGGGTTCGTACCCCGGTCCGGGAAGATCCCACGTGCCGCGGAGCTGCTGGGCCCGTGAGCCATGGCCGCTGAGCCTGCGTGTCCGGAGCCTGTGCTCCGCAACAGGAGAGGCCACAACAGTGAGAGGCCCGCGTACCGCAAAAAAAAAACCAAAACACAACCTTGTCTCAGTTAAGAGGCCACTGCGCTCTCTCCTTATTTTGAGTTCCCTGGTGCTTGTGGTTTTCAGTGTCATATTGCACGTGCTATTGTGTTATCGGCCATCATTTTGTGTTTCTCAGCTCATTACCTCTCACCTGAACTATGGCAAGTGACTCTCACCTGGTTTCCCCACTCCCAGATCTTCTTCTTGAGGACTTTGGTTTCTGGGGAGGTGAGGGCAGCGTGACTTGATCTGTACGCAAGGTGGCCTGGAAGTGCCAGGGAGTTATGCCCCCAGAAGCAGTCCTCAACCAGCGACAGCCAAGGCATTGGTGGACCAACGCTGGGAGTCCTTGCTTTGGTTGGGATAACTCTGATGCATGTTCCACACCGTCGCCCAGGTGTCCCATGAGGACTGAGTGCCAGGTGCCCACTGGGGTAACTGGCATGGCAGTGGACCCTTCACTGACTACCTTCCCTTCTCCGCCTCACCTCCCCACCCGCTACTGGCATTCCTGTGATCACCTCCCGTGGAAGTGGCCTGCACTGGAAGCCTTGCTTCTAGGGGAACACAAACCAAGACACTGCCTTCAGGCCAGGATGAAGAGCACCGCTGGGTAACTTTACCAACCGTCAGCACAATCCACTCCGATGCACAGTCCTTACGTGGTGATTGGGGCTTTTCATGACCCGGCCTGGCAGGCTTTTCCCACCTTTCCTTCCATGGCCGCTTCACGCATTCTGTGCTCCTGCCAGAAGGACTTACGCCCTTGCTCCTGGACAGGTGCCCCACTTCCACACCCCTGGTTTCTGGTTTCTCTACCAAGAAACATCTTTCCCTCAACACCTCTGCCTGTCCAAATTCTACTCGTCCTTCATGGACTGCCCCGCTGGCCCCTGCTTCTAGGATTCCCACATCTCCTCTCTCCTTAGTGCCCAGGCTTTATCAGGCTCTCTCATTATATTTGTTATATTCTGCTTTGGATTGACTTTAGCTGTTTGTGTACATGTCTCATATCCTGGCTCCTGTGTCATTCCTCGAGGGTGGAGCCTGCAATGGAATCACCTTTGTTCCCCACTCAGTGCCTAATACAAGGCCTTGTACAGAGTAGCACAAAGTAAATATTTGCTGAGCAAATGGAGAAACTGGATCCACACTGGTCTCTTCCTCTTCCCAACCGTCATGCCCTTGAGGGAAGGAAAGCATCTTTTTATATACCCTGCAGCACCTAGAAGAGTGCTGAGCATACAGGATGTTGTCCAGGAATACTTGCTGAGTAGAAATTAAGTTTTGCCTGCGCTCAGCTCTTGAGGCAGAGCTGGGTGGGAGACCAAATACCAGGAGGGCAAGACTCAAAAACGAGGTTGGCAAACTGTGGCCCGAGGGCCACATCTGGCCCACCACCTGTTTTTATAAATAAAGTTTTATTGGAACCCAGCTACACTCATTCGTTTATGTATTCCCTGTGGCTGATTTGGCACCACACTCGCAGAGTTGAGTAATAACAGCAGAAACTGCGTGGCCGGCAAAGCCTAAGATATTTTCCGCCTGGCCCTTCAGAGAAGTTTGATGACCTCACTGAAGAGTGTCCTCCTGCTCTGGACCAGGAATAGATATCGTGCTGACCCAAAGCTGCAGTCTGGCTCCGTACTAATTTGCCTTTTCTCAAAGTTCTGGAGTCACTGTCCCATTGACCTAAGACATTTGCTCCCCAGACCATTTCTTTCCACCTTGGAAGTTTGGCACTAAGGGCTCCATGATCTCTAAGCCAGATCCTGAAGCCAGGACCCTCCCCTGCACTGCGGCTGGGACGCTGAAGGGAGGAGGCTCCAAAGGCTTCCTTCTTGCTGCCCCCGTCCCATTGCTCACCTTGTCCACCTTGTCCAACCAGTCCTTGTTGGCGGCCAGCTCGGCCATGAACGCCTGGTGCTTCTGCCACTTGGTGTGCAGGTTGCGGGCCTCATCATAGGACACGTCCTGGGCTGTCAGCATCTTCTCGTCAATCCAGAGTTTCAGCTGGACCGATCATGGAGCAGGGATGGAGAAGGGCAGAATACACTTCAGAGAGAGGGAAGCGGGAAGCGGGAAGGGGGCGAGGGTGAGTCGGGGGAGGTGGGGGATGTGGGGAGAAGCCAGGCAGGGATTCACATGCTCAGGTGACACTGCAGTGGACTGACTCCAGGCTCAGAGAGCGAGGGCGTTGTGGGAAAGGGTGGCCAGGGAACGTCAGAGGCGACAGGGGGGACTGAGAGCCTCACCTCGTGACAGTCTTGTAAGAAACGCTGCCGCTCTCGGTTGTCCCGAAGACGGCCCAAAAGCTGCTGCACTGCTTCTTGATTCTTCCTGTGTCTGTAATGACAGGCCCCTGTGAAGCCCTTGAACTTGCTATGAAAGAGTTATGACCCTCTAACTAACCTAGAAGCCCTCAGTCCTCCTCCTCTGGGGATAGTACCTTCCGGGAGCGCTACAAGTCAACCCAGCAACCCTGAGGCCCAGTGTCCAGCTACCCTAGGAGACTTCGGGGAGGCGGAACTTCCCCGCCTGTGACTCAATCCCTCTCGGACCACTTGGTTTTTCCTCCTCTGCTTTTTGTCAGCCCCCCACCCCCATCTGTCGGTCTGAGTGCCATGTTCATCCTGTTTTCACCTGGTCCCCTTTAGGGACCCTCATTTGCCCACTGTCCTCATCATACCTCCTCTCTATGGAGTCTGCCTTCTCTTGGATCTTCTCGGCATGGATGTTGCCCTCAGACACCAGCTGGCGCCCGGCTTCCAGGAGCCCGCGGATCCGCTCACCGTTGGCATCCATGGTGCTCATGAAGTCTTCCAGTTTTTTAATGGCGGCATCAGCAGCCTGGAGTGTCCCCGGCATCTCCGTGTGAGACAAAACATATTCCTGTGTGGGAGGGAGATACCGAGCTCATTTCTCAACCTCTCAGAAGGAACCTACCAAAGGGCCCATCTGAGACATGGAAGCCAACCAGGTAGGGACAGGCAGACTCTGGCTCTGAAGACGGAGGGATGGTGCCTGATTATGTGGGAGTCTCAGAAAGTTAGAACGGAGCTGGGCTGGAGGGCCTTTAATACTCCAAGTCCTGTTCCATCTTATTTATAGCTGCTGCTTCCATTTCTGTTATATGACAAGCCAGGTTTTCTATTTCTTCTCTAGTCAGTTTTGGTAAGTTATGTTTACATCTTTTTTTTTTTTTTTTTCCCTTTTTTTTTTTTTTTTTTTTTTTTTTTTGCGGTACGCTGGCCTCTCACTGTTGTGGCCTCTCCCGTCGCGGAGCACAGGCTCCGGACGCGCAGGCTCAGCGGCCATGGCTCACGGGCCCCGCCGCTCTGCGGCATGTGGGATCTTCCCGGCCCGGGGCACGAACCCGTGTCCCCTGCATCGGCAGGCGGACTCTCAACCACTGTGCCACCAGGGAAGCCCCCGTATTTTTTTTTTAACGTGTTCTCCCTGCCCATCCTGTTCCCTCACCTACTCCATGTGCTGCGTTTACCTCCTCATCCACCACTCCTTCACATTCCTTTGGTCCCTATCTCCCACTTTTTCCTGGTCGGGACTTTGCCCCCCGGACTCTTACCTGGCTGCTGAGCACGCCCTCGGCCTGGCGAGCATCCCGCAGGAACCCCTGGAAGCCGTGGGCCTGGGCAAGACGGCCTTGTCGGCTCTCCCACATGCGGCCCAGCTCCTCCCAGCCGGTTCCCAGCGCTTCGAGTCGCTGCCGTAGGAAGAGGCACTGGGGATCGGCCTGGTCCCGGGTCACCTCCTCACCCACGGCCCGAAGCTGGCTGTACTCGCTCCGGGCCCGCTCCACCTCTCCCCGCAGGGCTGCATGTTGGGCCAGGAGGGCCTCTGCCTCAGGCAGGGTGGCCGGCCCTTCTTCAGAGGCCACGGAGGTCTGCGTGCGGCCGAGCCAGGCCTGGAAGTCATCCAAGCTGCGCAGGAAGTCCTGCAGCCGCCGCGCCTCACCCAGCGACTCCTCTCGTCGCCGCATGGTGGCCCTGAGGTCCTCCCAGCCGGCTTGCACCTCTCCAAGCCGGGCGCTGATGGCAGGGGCTTGGGCGGGGTGGCCAGCAGCCAGGGCATTTGCCTCTCGGGTCAGTTCGCCCACCCGGGCAGCGATGGCCTCCAGGTCCCTCTCGGTGCCGGCCAGCTTACGCTGCAGCGCCAGCACCCCGGCCAGGTCATTGCCCAGGCCCTGGGTGGACTCGATGACCTTGGTCTTTTCTCTCATCCAGGCCTGGGTCTCTGTGCACTCTAAGTGGTAGTTCTGGATGCTCAGGGCTGACGTCAGAGCTGCCTTCTTGCCGTCCGCCAGGGACCGAAACTGCTGCCACCTGAGGGCAGAGGGAGTGTCCGGAGCTGCTCAGCTTTCCCGCCCTGTGCAGGTAGATGGGAAGCTTCTTCCTGCTCTCTCGCCCTTGGTATAACCTACCGCCTGCTTCTGCCGTTTAGAGAGCCTGCTCCCCACTCATCTTCCCGTGACTCCTCCTTGTCTGCTCCCTGTCCAGGCACCAGCCCCTTCAGACGACCTTTACCCCACTTCCATCTCTTTCATCACCACCCCGCTCCGACATATTTCAGATGGCTTTCCCTCCTCATTTTAGCCTCTCTCCCATGCCCTACAGAACTCTCTTCCAGCTGCCGTCCTGTCTGCTGCATCCTTTCTCACCCCACCTGTGGTTGAGCTGCTTCTGGGTGTTGACAATGCTGTCCTTCCCCGGGGGGTTGGCCTTCAGCAACTGCTCTGCGATGTCATTCACAGCAGTAATTCGCGCTGCAAGGGCGTTCATTTCAGGCTCCAGGGTCTCGAACCTGATGGGGTGGAAGAGCTGGGCATGAGCGGTGGGAAGCAGCGGTGCGCTGGTCCACCTCCCTTAGATGCATGCCCACGAGAACTCCTCTCCGTCAACATGAGGCTTATTGACAGGAGTCTCTGCACCTCTTCCCTACATGGTTCATAGCATCTGTGGATCAAGGGGGAGCCCCCAACTCCCCCCAGACAAGTAGAAAAACTGTCATCTCTAGAGTGGCTCAAAACCATGGTAAAAATTAAAGGGGAGGACCAGCTGGACAACAAGTCAAACTAATCCCTGGCACAGGCCTTCACCCTTCAGCAGAACCTCCCTTATTCCTCCTGGGACTTACCCCTTAGCTGCCTACCTGGGTCCCACCTTACTAATATGTGTTAAAAAATGAGTTGATAATGAAAAAAATGTAAGTGATAAAGATGTGAAGCATAACTTCTCCTGGAACATTTCATATTCTCATAGAGCAGAGTCTGCAAATGGGCCACGTAATAAATATTTTAGGTTTTGTGAGCCATTCGGTCTTTATCACGAATATTCAGCTCTGCTGTTTTAGTGCAAAAGCAGACACAGGGATGACATGCAAATGAATGGGCATGGCTATGTTCCAATAAAGCTTTATTTACAAAAACAGGCAGAGGCTGTATTTGGCATAGGGGTTTCTGACTCCTGTCATGGGATATATTGAAAAAAGCAACAAAACATCTTTAATTACATTTTTAAAACCACCAGGAAATTTGACTAGAGATTGAGTAGTAGGGACTTCCCTGGTGGTCCAGTGGTAAAGCATCCACCTTCCAATGCAGGGGACGCGGGTTTCATCCCTGGTCAGGGAACTAAGATCCCACACGCCACAGGGCAGCTAAGCCCGTGCGCCTCAACTATTGAGCCCGTGCGCCACAACTGGAAAGAGAAAACCCACACGCCAGAACTAGAGAGAAGCCCGTGCGCCACAATGAAAGATCCCACATGCTGCAACAAAGATCCCGAGTACCGCAACTAAGACCCGGTGCAGCCAAAAAAGAAAAATAAATAAATAAATAAATAAGTAAACCAATAGAAGGAAAAAGAAGATTGAGTAGTAGGTGATATCAAGGAATTGCTAATTTTGTTTTATGTGATAATGGTATTGTGTGTGGTTCTATAAGAAAAACATCATTTCTAAATTATTTTAGGATTTCTTATTCTGCAAATAAAGCTACTTCACGAGGGCTTAACCAGTGTCTCTGTCTAAAAGGTTTATAACTTCAAAGCCTTAGCTAGTCTAAGCCTGAACACACAATTACAAAATAGTGTACCCATATTGCAAATTTCTGTGCTCCTGGAGAATACAGAGGTGAAACGTTAATACTGGGGATTTGCTTTTGAAAAGGACAACTAATCAAACAGAGCAAGATACTGACGATGACTGAATTTGGGTGATGGCTGTATAGGAGTTTGCGGTATAATGTTTCTATTTCTGAGGATATTTAACGCTTCTCATTAAAGCAGAAACCAGACGACTGGCAAGACTCCAAAGGATGTAGCCAGAGCAGGTGGCACCCGCCATACACCACACACATGGGGACCACCCTATACACTGGCCCCAAACTCGCAAGGCCACTCGGGAGGGCGGGGCGTGAGCGGGGCCCACCTTTGCTGCACGACCTCCAGGTCCTCCAGGCGCTCAGGCAGGGCGAGCCCGTTTAGCCACTGCTCCTTCTCCTCCACCCAGAGCCCGCAGGCCCCCGCCTCGCTGAGCATGGTGTAGAGCGCCAGGGCCGCCTCCAGGGCACGTGCGCGCTCCCCCGCGCGGGCCAGCAGCTCCTCGTAGTGCCTCTCCAGGGTGGGCAGCTGGCCCTGCACCTCAGGCGTGCGGCTCAGCACGGGAGGCAGGGCCGCGGCCTGCTCCCTCAGGGTGTCCAGGGTGGGCCGGTGGCCTCGGATCTCTTCCTCCAGGGCCCGATGCTGCCGGGCCAGGGCCTGCGTGGAGAACTCGTCATGTCCCAGCTCGGGGCTGGACACCAGGCGCAGCGCGTCCACCAGCCAGGCCTCCATGTCGTTTGCGTCCGCCTGGAACTGGTAGAGGCTGGCGGCCTGGGCGAGCCGCTGGGCGCGCTCCTCCGCCAGGGCCTCCAGCTTCTCCCACTGCGCCTGGAGCTCGGCGGTGCGGGCGGCGGCCTGGCCCGCCCCGGGGTGGCCCTCGGCCACTAACTGCTGGCCCTGCTCCAGGGTGAGCTTCAGGGGCCCCAGCCGGCCGCTCATCTCGCCTCGCAGGGCTGTGTGCTTGTTGAGCAGGCGGAGGACGCCGGTCAGGTCCCGGCCGGTTTCTGCTGAGGCCAGCAGGTGCTGCTGCTCCCGCACCCAGGCCTCGGCCTCGCCCACCTCCCAGAGGAAGCGCCAGAGTCGCCGGGACTCCTCCAGCCGGGCCCGCCGAGCCGCTGCCAACTTGCACAGCGACTCATAGTTCTGCTCCAGGGCGGCCACCCGCTCCAACACCAGCTGGGGGTCGCACGGTTTGTACTCTGAAACAGTCACACCAGAGGGCCAAGAGCTGTGGTCCAGCCCTCTCCTGCTCCCTGTGCACTCCTAGTTACGAATCCCCCCACCCCACTCTCTTAGCTCTGTCGCCCACCGTCCACCCATCATCTTTCCTGTCCCCAGGTTTTTCCAGTCTTGCTGCTTCAGCTCTTAATGTTCTCCTTCCCAGCCCCCCCCACCTTTTCTCCAGTTCCTCCCCCTCCCGGTTTTCACCTTTTCCTGGGTCGCAGAAGCGCAGTGCAGAGGCGCTGACGGCCCGCACCCTCTCAGCCTGTACAGCAATGTCGGCTTCCACCAGCTCGTGCAGCTGCAGCAGGTCCTCCACTCCAGCCAGATGCTTGCCCAGGTCCTGGGACTGCAGCCGGCCCTGCGGGGCGCACGCAGCATGTCGATGGCCGTCTGAGAGCCGCCCGGTTCCCTCCCAGTCAGGCCTCTTGCCCCGCCACACACAGGCACTAACCTCGTCCCATCTTCCTGGATCAACCACACATCCCGACCTCTTGGGGCGGCTCCAGGTGTTGCACCCAGGTGAGCACACATGCTCCCAGCTGTCAGCCCTCACTCGCACACATAGTGACCCCTGAGTTCTCTCCTGGCACCCTGGCCTCTTTGTACTCAACTCCCCTCCTGCCGAATAACTTTCCTACTAAACCCTGCTCCTGGAGTCTCCGCTCTGACTCATCACCTCAGCACCAGAATTACTGCCACCCTCCTGTGGTCGTGGCTCAGTCCCCAGCACCGCAGCAATCGTCGCATCTCTGCAGACCTATCCACATCGCTGTCTCTCGCCTAGATCACCGCAACAGCCTGTGACTGGTCTCTCTCTGCTCCCACTCTGGCTGCCCACAGCCATTCTTCAAATAGCAGTCAAAGTGACATTTAAAAAAATGTAAAAACGCAGAATCATGTCTCTCCCCCTTTTCAAAACCTTCTAATCACTTTCAATGCTCCATGTTACTCTGAGTAAAATCCAAACTCCCTGACCAGGCCTGTAAGCCCTAAGTGAGCAGGCTGCTTCCTCCCTTACCTCATCCCCTGTCCCCTCCCTGTTCTTACAGCAGCCCACCCCCACCCCCCGGCCTCCCTTCTCATCCGGAACATGCCACACGTGAGCAGGCCAAGGGCCTTTCTGTTCCTTCTGCCTGGAAACATTCTCTCCTTAGATCTCCCTGTGCTGGCTCCTTGGGACATTCTGCTCTCAGCCTAAATGGCATTTTGCAGAGAGGCCTTCCTGGACCCCTCCATCGCACTCCTGTCTCCCTTTCCTCACAGGCTTCACGCCCACCTGCTGTGCTGTTTACTGACAGGCCCACGGGTTTGATCATCAGCCTCGTCCCCCTGGAACGTGAGCCCCTGAGGACAGGGAGCTGTTTGCTCTGTTCACCTGAACAGGGGACAGGGCCCTGGACTGGTACATCCTCTGCAAAGGTTCGGCTGAGCAGATGGGCGAACGAAGTGCCCTTCGTACTCCCATGGTCCCGACCGCCTTGACCCCACCTCCGCATCCGCTGGTACCTTCATCTCTTCCATCCAGTCCATGAGGTAGAGCAGGTCCTGGAACACCTTCTGCAGCTCCAGGTTGAGGAGGAGCCGCTCCCGCCGGGCGGCCACCATCTGCCGCAAGAAGTCCCAGAGCCGCGCCACGTTGTTCTGCCGCGCGGCGATGCGCTTGATGTCGTGGTAGTGCTCAGCGGCCAGCTCGGCGGCCACGGCGCCCACCGCCTGCACCCGGCCGCTGTAGGCCACGATGTCCGTCTCGATGGCTTCGTGCTTCCGCACTGCTGCCTCCACGGCGGCCAGCTCCAGCCCAAAGTTGTCCTGGGGCGGGGACAGGGAGGGAGGGCTGGGAGCTCCGGGAGCCGCTCTGCTCACCCCCTGCCCCCCCACCCCCGGAGCACTTCTGCTGCGAGGTGCCAACTCCACGGGGTGGCTCTCAGCGTCCTCTCTATCCCACCCCATCCTGTCTCACCAGCCCTTCTCCTGTTCAACGCTCCGGCCCCTGGTTCCCGGGCTCTTGGTCTCCAAGTCTGTGTGATGGAGTTCTTGTTTCTTTAGCTCCCCACCTCGCAGGGCTCCTTATCCACCACTCTCTCTCACTCTCCCATGTCTCCAGACCTGCCTGGACAGGCCAAGAGCCCCCCGCCGTGTCCTACCTGGGACACAAGGCGCTGGTTCTCGCTAAGCCAGGTCTCCCGCATGGCGGCCTTGCGGTCGAAGCGGGCGGCCAGCTGCTCCAGCTTCTCCTGGCGGATCAGCTCCGTGCGCAGGGCCAGCTCACGCTCATGCTCAGCTTTCTCCAGCCGCTCCCAGGCCTGCGAGGTGGAGACAGGATTAGTGCTAAAGGGCCAGGGCTCAGGAAGTGAGGGCGGGGAGGGGTCACCAGGGCTGGGGGTGCAGGGTGGGTCCCAGGGAAGCTCGGTCTAGTGGGTCTGTGGAATGCGGTCAGACGCCTGTGCAGGGAAACATGAGGAACAGGGTGGCGTGAATGCCGTGGAGCCCCATGAAAACCACATCTGCTGGTAGACAAAGACGGGAGGGGAACAGGGGACAGTGGAAATCACTGGATTTGTTTCTGGTGGTGGGGCTGTGGGCGAACCCTATTACTTTTGTTAATCTTATGCTGTGAAAAAAATGAAACAAAAGTAGGGCCAGCGAGTCGAGGATATGCTGAACAATAAGGGACTGGGGTATAATTTGCATGGAGAGACCGAGGGAGGAGGAGGGGGACGTGCAGGACTCGGGAGAGGATGTGGGAGTCACGCCTGCACCCGGGATGGGTGGGGTTCAAGCCAGGCCGAGGGTTCAAGCAGGGACAGTAGGGGCTGGTGCTGAGGGTGGGTCGTCCCAGGGATGGAAGGGAGGCTGTGGACCTTGTTGATGTCAGAGATGAGCCGGCCCTCGCGGGGCGTGTAGACCTTCTGGTTGTTGGCCCGCAGCTTGCTCTGGATGGTGAAGAGCAGCACTTCCAAGTTCCCTTTCTCAGTGAACCTGAGGCGGGAGGCCAGGTGGGGTCAGAGTCAAAGGCCACGAGGGGCCCGGGGGCTCTTTACATTTCAGAATGAAGTTGTTCTGTGTTGCTTTTCTTCTTATAAAAGCTTGTGAAAATACTGGCAAACCACGTTTAAAAAGAACCTAATTTTAGGGCTTCCCTGGTGGTGCAGTGGTTGAGAGTCTGCCTGCCGATGCAGGGGACATGGGTTCGTGCCCCGGTCCGGGAGGATCCCACATGCCGCCGAGCGGCTGGGCCCGTGAGCCATGGCCGCTGAGCCTGCGCATCCGGAGCCTGTGCTCCGCAGCGGGAGAGGCCACAGCAGTGAGAGGCCCGCGTACCGCAAAAAATAAATAAATAAATAAAAAAGAACCTAATTTTAAAACAACTGAAAACCACACAGACACGACCACTGTCACCCTTGGGCATGTATGTACTGCATTTTTGCTTTACACAGATGGGACGGTGCCATAACCACAGCTAACATTTGTGGAGGACTCACTCACTCACAGAGAGCCAGGCCCTGTTCTCAGGGCTTTGCATGCACTAACTCCTTCTCACTGTTACCTACATTCTCTCATTACCCCATTTTCCAGATGTGAAAACCGAGGCACAGACAGGCTAAATAACGCCCAGTGCTCACAAGGGTAGGTGGCAGAGCCAGGATGTGAACTCAGGTACTTTGAATCTGGACGCTTAGCCCTTTGCTCTCTGCCATCCACAGACAACTGTCTTGTAACTCTTATGTTTCATGAACGTCTTTTCAGGTGAATAAATGCATTTCTCCGATATTATTTTCAGTGGCTGTACCATGACTTATTTTTCTTTTACAAAGGTCACGTTCGTGAATATCCTTGAAGCTACATCTTTGTTCAATGCCCAGAAGAGGACTTTCTGGGTCAAAGGGCACACCTCAAATCATTCCCTGGAATGCACAGGAACAGATGTTTTCTGGCTTAATGTTAGTTTTGGAGCTGAAACACATTAACTCCAAAAGAGCCCAAAAACAAAAAACACAGAAGTTTTAGCATGTACCGTATAGAATCATCTAGTAGTAATTCCATACTTCAACAGTCAGTTGCTAAAATACATAAATGATAAGAACCTGTGCAATGTGCAAGTGACCAGCCACATGCACGTATTGCCAGCGACAATCTGCCTGTCAGATCCAATCCCCTGTCCTTAAGCTGGGACTGGGTTGCCGAGACACCCCGACCAATCTCTTCTGAGTAGACCGCACCGGCTCTACATACCATGGCAATCATTTCCACAGCATGATTTCTTGTAATGGGTGACCATTAAAATTTTTTACTTTGGAAACTGCTATTGGGGCTCTGAGTGGGGGGAAATGAGCCTCCACTGCATTTATGTGCTGCCGCATCTCCCTCCCAAAAGGCTCCCCTCATTTAGGCTTCCTGCTGTGTGAGCACAGCTTGGGGCAGGCAGGCCGTGGCAGGGTGTGGCTCAGGGACACCTACTTGGGTGGCTTCTCCACAGTGCGGTAGGAATTGAAGGACTGGAGCTGGTTCTGGACACCACTCAGGGAGTTGGCCAGCTGCCGGTCATTGAGGGTCACGATCGTTTGCTCAATCCACTGTAGCAGCTCTGAGGCCAGGGACTCATACTTCTCCACCAGGCGCTCGGCCTCCATGGCGTGGTCCAGCACCTGTGAAACCGTGCTGTGGGTTCCCTGGCCCAGTCCTCCCCTGCTCCTGCTTTAGGGCAGTAGGACCCCTAGGCCAGGCCTCCTCTGGTCTTTATGCCTACCACCCCCATGCTGGAGAGTACCTTGCCAATTCTTTTGCCTTCCACGGCCAGGGCCTTCATCTTGGAGAAATAGTGGTAGTAAGTAGCCACGTAGGTAATAATTGATTTCTCATCTGGTTGGTCCACATTCACATCTGAGAAAAAGGACCACTCAGATCAGGCCGAGATTAGAAACCTGCCTCCCAGAAGTATGCCCACAACTCGAATCACTTACTCCAATCCTAGGGGCCTCCTAGCCCTCCCAGGCTGATGATATCTTTCCAGCTCCCTTCAGAGTAAAATGACAAATAAACTATTTGGACTACAAGGGCATGAAAAGCTAACCCTTCTATTCCCCCTCTTCCTAGAAACAAGCGGAGTTTAAAATCCAGAAGCCCAAAGAGGCTTTTACCCAGTGTAAAATTAGTTGTTTGGAGGAAGAGAGACAAGAAAAGAAACAGCATTCCCATTGGGGGATGGATCGTGGACTTATGGGCTGGAAAGATGCCCAAGAAGTCATCCAATTCAGGGGCAGCAAGACAGAAGGTATGAACGAGGCCTCCTGAACCCAGAATGTTCAGAGGGATGGGCCCAGGGAGCCCTGGAAGCAGGGACAGAGGCCAGTTCTCAGGGCCATCTTGGGGCACAGTCATGGCTATTTCTTACCTCAGTCCCAAAGTTCAGCTGTGGGCCCAGGAGGGGAGTGTCCTTCAAGCCAAATTAACTCCTACCACGAGGACACCAAGGCTGACTATGACTTGAAATCTCTTAATTGGTTCTCTTAATTGGGCCAGCTTGTATCCTACCTACAGGGAAGACTATTAGACCAAAAGCCCTCCTGACCACCTCTGACCTCCCATAGGCAGGCGGGAGCCACGGAAATCATCTCAGAAAGTTATGGGGTACGAGGCTTTACTTAAATGTTCTTTATCATAGCTGTGCTCCTCAAATGCTCTCCCAGGAACCTTGTGCTTGGCCTGCTTCGATCACTACTTAGCTGATGCTTGTCACTCTGGACTAAGAAGCATGGGGACAGGGACTACAGGTGGGATGGAAGACAGGGAGAAAGTAACCAAGCCCGAAATCCACCCAAGGAGCTTCAGAAGGAGCATTTCCAGCAAGGAAGTCACTCGGCCCTTCCGTCCTTCCCTTTGCTGGCTGCACCAAGACTGCTCTCTGCTCTCCCAGAGAGGTGGCTGAGGAGACAGGCTCTGGAGCCAGGCTGCCTGAATGTGAATCTCAGCTCCACCAGCCGTATGACCTTGGGGAAGTCACTCAAGCTTTACAGGCCCCTGTCTTCTCTTCCATAAATGGAGCAGGATACTGATTTCAAAGGGGGTGTCGTGAGGATTAAATTAATTAGAGCACGTCAAGTGTAGTGCCAGGTACAAAACAAGAGCTCAGTGGCCATTCCCAGTCTCATCAGCATTAGGTCAGAACCACGGGGGCCAATGAGTAGGGTCAGCTGACCATAAGGCCAGTGCTTCGTGAGACCTCAGGGTCACGGAGCTTAATTTAGAACCCTAGAGTTTTGGGATTAGAAGGGCCCTTAGAGACCACGGAGACCAATCCTCTCATTTTAGAGATGAGGAAACCGAGCCACAGAGAGGCCAAGCGACTGGCTCTATGTCACAGAGCTGCTCCGTAGAGGGGCTGGGATAGAACCATACCCCAGGGCTCTTTCTGCCACGGGGCTGCCTTTCTTCCTATATTGAGATCTACTTTCCACACCATAAAATTCACCCTTTTAAAGTATTCTATTCCACGGTTTTTAGTACATTTACAAGATTGTGCCATCGTCACCACGATCTAAATCCGGAACACTTCCGTCACTTCCCAAAGAAACCCCGTAGCCATCTGAGCGATCTGCAGTTCCTTCCCGTTCTCGCCGCCCTCAGCCCCCGGCACCCACTCATCTACCTTCTGTCTCTAACCCACAGCCTCTCTGCCCCACCTTCAGGATCCAGCAGCTTCGTAAGTCCCAGCTCCTTCTCAGCCAGATTGAAAGCGTTCTGCAGATTGTAATGTGCATTACACTTCTTCAGGGACTCAAAATCCAGCAGGTCTGGCCTGGGTGGGGAAGGAATATAGAAGGTATCAAGGGCATGTGAGATTCTGAAGAGGAAAAGTAAACCACCCCTATCTTTCTCCCTAAGTCCCCAACCCTCCCCGCCCCAGGGCTCCCATCGCAAGCCCTCCATGCAGTAGGCACCCCGACATCCTGGCTCTTCTCCGAATGTTCCTTTCTCGTAACTGCTGTGTAGCTCATCTCATCTCACTGCTTTGTCTATGTGTGCCTGGGCCCATGGGTCATCAACCCATCCAGTAACTCAGACAAGCTCTCGAACCCCCGTCTTCTCACCGGTGTTTATGTACAATGGCGTTGAAGGCCAGCCCATCTCTCCAGCTGGTGGTGAAGTTGTGCACGTTGACATTGGGGTACCTGTAAACAGAGGCCAGGATAGACAGTAAGGAGGGCCATCCCGGTCTGTGCCTCGAGGATGGACCTCCAGCTTGTGGTTCCTGGCCCCCATCCTTCCTTTACTGCACAGCCTCGGTGCATCCAACCCTCCAAGGCCACGCTGCCTGGGCAGCCTCACCCCGCGGTCTTCATCTGGCACCACAGCAGCAGGGCATCCTTGGCTGACTTCTTCTCCTTATTGTCTTCTGTTTCCACACTTATGTCTTGGATCTAAGAAGGAAGGAAGGAAGGAAGGACAGAAGGAAGGAAGGACAGAAGGAAGGAAGGGAGGAAGGCAGGCCCTCACTCCCTGAACAGGGGCTCCTGGAATTATCAGAGATGCTCAGAGATACACGGCAGGAAACTGCTCCTTAGATTCCTGGATTAGGGGTCCAAGGACAGAGCCTGGGGACCTTTCCTCCTGGGTCAGTGACCACAAAACTTCAGGTCAAAGGGATCTGAGGCAGCAGAATGGGGTGGGAACTCAGAAGAGTGGAAGTGCCTCGAAGCGAAGAATGCGGTTCCTGCAGGTGGGGGAACCGCAGGTAGTGGAGTGAACATTTCCTGACAGCTGGGTTTCAAAGGTGAAGCTGACAGAGCTCTGCTTAGGGCTGGAAGGAGCAGGGGAGGTTACACCCGGGGAGGAGGCAGGGGAATCAGGAGAGCTGTGATGGCGTTAGGACACTGGACTGGCTTTGCTCAGAGCATAAGAAGGAGTAGGGTGGCTGTTGTCTTTTGAGGGAGGTGAGCAGAGTTTGAGGCAGCGGAGTGGGCTGGTGACCAGACTCCAAATGTAGCTCTAAAACTTTCCGTGGGGAAGGACCAGTCTGTAAAATTTCCAGTCCCTTGGGCAGCGACATGTGGTCCTATAGCCCGTGACCAGTACACAGACCAGGCCACAGGGAATTTGCCACAGAAGTTTGACAACATCCACGCTGGCCTCCACCCTGTTTAATGAGGAGCGTCCCCTGATTTGGCGTAGGAGGTCCTAGGCCCTCCGTGTGTGCAGTGACCTTGGGGGCTGCAGCACCGGTGTGCAGGGCACCCACCGAGCAACACCGTGCGGGGTACCTGGAATCGAAGGATGATGGTCCACACCAGCCCGAGGGTCAGGCGGTGGTTCCCGTCCACAATGTCATGCGAGCCCACATTTTCCAGGTGCACTTTTTGCTCCTTCAGGAACTGCAGCGCCTTGTCCACATTCTCCAGGCAGTGGATCCGCATGCGGCCCTTTGTGGGCTTTGGCTGTCGAGGGACCGGGGACACAAAGCCGTGGGACCGTGGGCCTCCTCTTCCTTCCCTCCTAGCTTTCCCAGGGCCCTGCTTCCTACACCTTCCCCATGACCTCCCTCAGGAACACGGGCCGCCCCGGGGAGCTAAAGCTGAGTTGCAGTTGAGGCTTGAGGCAGGTTAAGATTCCCAAGGGAATTAAGGACACCCAGAGTGGGTGGGAAAAAAATGTTTTCAATGGGGCCACTGTTCCTGTCTCCACGAAGCAATGCTCCTGGTTTAATTCACGCAGCAAAGCCTCTCAAAATGAAACCATCCTCTGAGCAGAGGGCGGCCACTGCTTTCTGCTCTGTGGGGTCACTCTTCTTGTTCGGGGCCACTCCCATAGCTTGTCCCCTTGACCACTGTCTCTCAGGCCTCCTCCTCCCTGGTGACCACAGCTCACCAGTGTCTCTCCCGAGAGCACCTCGAGGAGCCTCAGGAGGTTACGTCCATCCCGGAGGTCGCTGTACAGGTCTCCCACCCGGCATGTCACCCGGGCCAGGTGAGAGTTGACCCACTTGGTGAAGGTTTTCTTCTGCACAGCTTCTCGCTCATCTGTGGCAGCAACATGGGGTCATTTCTGCCCTTCAAGTACCGTGCACCTGCTTCTAAACACCAGTTGGTGGGGTTGGGGAAGTGAGGTCTGGGGAGGAGGAAGGGCAGGAAGACGGCCGGGAGGAAAACCCATAGCTTAAAAAGCCGGGAAATACAGAAATTGGAATGAGTTCATTAGCAAGGTGAAGAACAAAAATAAGAGATGGAAAACAGGCTTTGAGAAGAAAGGATGAAAGAAATTAGAAGCAGGGGACATGCAGGGGAGGTCTGGGATCAGGACTCTGTCATGTAACAGTGGTGAAATGCTGTTGCTTCACCCATCAGGGCCTCACTTTCCTCATCTGTAAAATGGGCACGTTACTTTCTCTTTCAGCAAGTCATTGTGCTGACTGAGACAACGTGTGTAAGATGAGGCACGAAGTGGCTCCTCGATGAGTTACTGTTTATAGGCATGATCTAACCCGAAGGAAAGAGTAAGAGTTGCTCAGGTCGGTCCAGCAGGAGGTATGGCTGTTCCCTTTTGGTGGTGGACAAAGGAGAGGGTGTGAACTTAAATTACAGCAGCCACTGTTCCAAGTGGTCATTAGAAGGATGTGACATTATAGAGGCTGCAGGCCTCCTGAGTCAGCTTGCTCTCCTGGGATAATTTAAAGAAAAGACAGGCTCCTCTACTTCTGGGTTGACTCAATTGGTTGCAAGGGGATCCTGTCCCAGGACACTAATATTCCAATGCCAAGAGGGAAAACGTCATCGTGAAAGTAGGAAACAGGGGAAACAGTGCGTCCAAGAAACACGGGGTGGGGGCAGGGAGAAACCAGGCAGAGTTTAGCGCCAATCTCAAAAAAAGTGAGGAGGTGCCTGCTGCCTGGTCCACAGGGGGACCTGCTGATGAGGGGATGCTGTTATATTTTACAGAAAAATAAGAATTAAAAGTATTATAAATGACAACGTGAGGGAAGAGGCTCAGGCCATCGGAAGCTGCTCCGGCCACTAGGATTTCCACCCGTTCTCCCCAGAGGAGCCCAGTGCAAGGACCCAGTCCAAATGGCCAGGGCCTGAAGAGTCACTTGTCCTTCCGTCTCAGCACCAGCATCTCGGAAACCGAAAAGACTCACCCCTTAATCTCACATTCCTATGCACCTCACCCATAAAGCATAGCGACACACCCATGTCTATTTCTGTCTTTCTTACCTCCAACCCCGTACCTGGGACAACCTTGGGGTCCTAACAAATGCTCAGATATCCTGATGCTCTGTGGGCCTTCTCTCAGGGTCCACAGGCCCTGCCCGAGCCGGGGACTGCCCGGAACATCAGCCATTACTGGACCCACGGAGTCTGCCCTGATGCCAGGCACACGGGGGTGAGGCCGTTTTGGCGCACAGGTAGCATGAGAGGGGAAGATGTGGAAACGGGGGCAGCTAGGAGAAAAATGTGCAAAGCCAAGTGCCAGGGACAAAGTGTAACTTTACAAGGCGTCCACGGACACACAAGACACAGTGGCTCCCAGAGATACACTGGAGTATGGCCGCCAGGGTGAACACAGCCTGCTCAGACATATACCTGAGCCTGTCTGCACCAGCTCCCTTTGACACACTCCCTGGTTTCCACACACACTTAAGACACCCACTCAGAAACCCGGGGCAGCACAAACACGCCCTAGGTCCCTCGCCTACTGGCTCACTCTCCCTGTCTCCTTCCCTGTCCACCCCAGCGGGCGTTTCCTCCCAAAGGCCGGAAAGTCTCAGCGAACCACGTTCGCTCCCCGCCTTGGAGGACACACGCCCAGCTGGGCCCCGACGCCGCCGTCACACCCGCTCTCGCTCTCACCGCCCCTCCAGCGGGTCCAAGCCTTTCCGGATTCTGTCAGCATCCCCGTGTTTTCCGGCCACTTGTAATTATTCCCCCGGCACTTTGTCTCCCAACACAAACGTCTGAGTCACAGAAGACGCTCCCCCCGACCCCGGGTTCCTGGCTCCGGCTCCTCTCCCACGCCCCCCGGGCCCCTCGCTCCGCGGGGCCCCCTCTCCGCGCGGCTCCCCTCCGCTCGCCCCCCGGAGCCCACCTTGAAGCTGCTTGAAGCGTCCCTCCAGCATGCTGGTGTATTGAGCCGGGCTGATGAAGGCAGCCGGCGAGAGCGGGAGGCCCCCGGGGCTCTGAACCTCTTCCACAGCCTCGTAGTAAAACTCGCCGGCCCCGTTCAGGCCGTGCCCGTGCGCCCTGCTCACTCCGTGCCCGTTCATGATGCTGCTGCCTCTCACTCTCCCGGGGCCCAGCGTCCATGCTCTGCCCGCGCCGTGGCGGGGCGCCGAGGGTCGGCTCCCCCTCGAGCCTGGGATCCCGCGAGCCTGGGGTCCCCGGGTGGCAGGGGGTGTGCCTCAAGGACGGTGGAAGTTTCGAGGACTGGGAAAAAGGAGTCACGGGACGTCTGAGCCCCGAGCTGCGGGACCCGTCGTCAGAACACACCTGGCTGCGGCGAGAGGAGACGGAGGCAGCTCCAGACAAACAGGTCGGACAGTGACGGGGGAGGGGTGGGAGGCGGAGCTTTCCGGCTGGGGCAGGGCCAGGCCCCGCGGGCCGCAGGAGGCAACTGCCGGCGCCTTAGAGACCTGCGCGTCTGGCCCCGAGTTGCCTCCGAGTACACAAGACCCGAGGGAGAGGCCCCCGAAGCAAAGTCCTGCTTTCCCAAGGTCTGCAGGTGTGATGAGGATGCCCCCTCTCTGTGACTCTGGGAGGTCCCCCTTCAGGATGTGGGCTTTGATCCCCAGCTCAGGGAGCAGAGAAAGAGAAATCCTTGAAGGGGCAAAGCCAGCTCAGTAGTACTAGCCAGGCACTGTGCTAGGTGTTTGCTTACATTCCTTCATTTGTGAGATAGGTGTTGTTATCTTCCTCACTTGTTTGTCATCCTCACCTCCAGTATCAGCTCCTTCCCTGCCATGGGGCCCATCAGGCCCTCCTCGGCCAGGCCATCCCAGGCCCCCAGTACACCCACTGCCGGGCACATCTACCCGATTTCCTTCCTACCTTTCTATGGGCTTCAGCCCTTGTCACTTACAAGCTACTCTTGCCCTTCTCCCATCTTCCTTCATTCAGTATTTATTTGGCACCTACCGGTGCGAGGCGCAGTGCTAGGCAAAGCCCATACAGCGACACCTCCTCAGGAGAGCCCCGTTTAGTAGTGGAGATAAACACCTATTGACAGCATAGGTGGCATATGTCGCATGTACAAACATTGCAACAGTCCTGGGTATCACGTGTCATGTGCACACAGACATCATGACCATTCTAGAAGCTACTCTTATCCAAAATCAGGGTACCAGGGAAACTTTCCCCCAGAGAGGTGAGATTCTCCATAACCCATGTCTTCTGCCTTCTCTCATCTATAGAAACAGCAATATGAGTATTTCACAAGCCAGCGTGTAGACCTAACGGGAAGGACAGGGAGGCCCAGCAGAAGTTGATAAGGGACCCCCAGAAGCAATGGCTACCACATGGGGATCCTCAGAATGGTGTTGGGCTGGCTGAAAAGAATTACCTGGAGAGCTTAAAAATTCCGATTCCTGGACCTTAGGTCCAAAGATTCTAATTTGGTGTGTCCAGAAAGGGGTTTGAGAACCTATATTTGTGAAAACATCCGTGGGTGATCCTGTAAAAAGTGCGGCCAAGTTTGGGAACCACCCCCTCAGTGTCTCCCTTCTTATAGGAGGCCACCCCACCCATGCTGGGAGCACCACCTCTCAGGAAGGAGTAGCTGTGACCTCTCCCACTGCACTGGGCTGGGAGGCCAGCAGGTCAGTGGAAAAGACAAGGGTGGCATGGAGGAGGGAAACCAAAAGGGTGGGTGGCCTTGGGGTGTGTGGGTGACTCAGCCCCACGACAGCCGCAGCCAATGGTGTCAGGTGGCAGCCGCACTCTTGTTGCCATGACAACTCCTCCCCAGAACGCAGGGAGGCCCGTCGAACGGGTTTGCTTGTGTTCGCAGGGGCTGAAGAGAGAACCGAGGCCATAGGGGAGGGCAGGGGCTGAGGCAGGCGGGGAGAATGGGCGGCTGCGGAAACCAGAGGCAGGCAGAGGGAACCTGCTTCAGGGAACCAGTAGATGAAACAGAGGGAGGAACAGGCGGCAGGTGGAAGGAACAGGTGGGGAGGGAGCGGAGAGGCTACTGGACTAGGAGGGGGAACAGGTGTGAGAGATGACAGTGGAAATCAAGGAAGAGACAAGAGGATGAAAGGTAAGGGAGAGGTGGGTGGAAACAGAATAGCAAGACTAAGCGCAAAAGAATTAAGGAACATGACTCAGGGATAGAGGCCAGGAAGTCAGCTGAGCACGGAGGGGAACACAGCTGAGTCCCAGGGTCAGCACGGCTTCTCCCTGCTTGTGGGGAAGGAAGCTGGGCATGTTATGGATTGTGCGCAGTTTGTTCTTGAGGCTGGAGTTGGGGACCAGGGGCTTGGTAGGGTGATCTGGATTTCCCGCTCTAGTGCAGCAGCTTAGAAAGAGTCGGTCTTCCCATGAAGTTGAAGGACTCTTCATGACAAGCTTCCCATCCCACATCCATTCTCAGCATCTCCCCCGGCCCTCCCCTGACCTCACCTGCCAGGGCCTTAATTCGAGACCTCTCAAAGAGGCGGGCCGAGCTGCTGTCATTGTCCCAGTCCGAGTCGGGCAGGTCCCAGCGGTTGTTGATGTCACTGTACTGGCCCTGGATCTCCAAGCTGTCAAAGTCTGTGGGTGACAGGGTGCTCATGGTGGTGGATGGCCTCCTGCTCCTGCAAGGGGGAATGTGGCTGGTGAGGCGCCTCTCAAAGCCACCGAGTCCAACACTCACCACGTCCTCCTCTCTTCCTGCCCTAGATCTGCTCTGCTCTCTTGACGGCCAAAGGCTGTGGTCGTTGTTTTCACCAATGGAAATCATCCCCCAGTGGGAGAGAGGAAGCCATGGAGGAGAAGCAGAGAGACAGGAACACAACAGACACACGTGGAGTGAGGCTGGAAGGCAGCAGTGTCTCAGAGCGACATAGTGGAGATGAAGGTCTCCAGAACCTCAGGCCAGAGAGGGACAGTGGGCAGGGGGCCGAAGGTGGCAATGGCCCTCAGCGTGGCTCAGGACAGCAATGTGGACACCAGGGCAATGCAGGAAGCAGGCCTGGGACCCCTTGGGCAATAGTGAGTATAAACCGGAGTTCTTTCATTCCTGGTTCCACAAACTGTTCTGAGTGCCCCCGCCCCCACCCCCACCCCCAAGATGGCCTCCTATACCCTGTAAACCAGGGATCCCCACACCCCCGGGCCGCGGACCAGTATGGGTCCATGGCCCGATAGGAACCAGGCTGCAGAGGAGGAGGTGAGTGGCGGGTGAGTGAGCGAAGCGTCATCTGCAGCTCCCCATCGCTCCTCATCGCTGGCATTACCACCATCCCCCCCACCCCCATGAAACCAAAAGGTTGGGGACTGCTGCTATAAGCGATTTGATGTGAAAAGACCCACATCCTGCTCTCAGGCCAAGATGCATCTACGATACACCAGGAAGACTGATGCACTGCTAGTAAGCATGGATAAAGAGCCCAGGAGTTCAAAGGAGGACACAGTATGGTTATCTCCCCTTGTTTACCTTTTACTTGTGACAGAGAATACTTAATAGGTGCTCAATGAACGTCAGCTGTGATATGTGTCCTCGCCATTTACATGCATCACCTCATCGCAACCCTCTGTGGGGCAAGGGTCCATTATCATCCCCATTTCATAGATGACGAAGTTGCCCCATGAAAGTTAAATCACGGTTCAGGGTCACTGGGAGGCAGCTGGAAGGCGCAGAGCTGGGTTTTGAAGCGAGATTCTTTTTGACTCTGGAGGACAAGCTCTTAATCATAACATTTACATGTTCTTGAACTTCCTGGAGCCCTTCAGAGCTCCCTTCTAGGGCCCAGGCTGGGGAAACTGGGACCATGTGTGCTCGCCAGCACAACTCACGACTCTATTTTACACAAACAAACCCTGTCCTTCTCCAAACTAACAAATGAGTTTCAGATTAGCTTCTAGGGATTATTTTTTTTTAAACCTCTATTATCCAAAGTTCTCGAGTAATTCAGCAGCCATTCAAGAGAATGGAGGGGGCTGACTCTGTAACTGAACCCCAAATTCTTCATTTCTCATTTTCCTAGTGCCTCTTAAATACAAAGACATTTTCATCCTTAGCACCACTTCCTAGGGTTGGGGCTATGACCTTGGCAGTCTCTGGCTCTAGAAAGAAGGTATGGTACCTCTTGTGTGGTGTGGGGGAAGGAAGAAAGAATGGGTGGTGAGTTGTGGGTGGTTAGCGAGATGTGAGATGTGTTCCCATGGGTGTACAGGGCAGAACTTGGCTTCTGTCATTAAGCGGTTTCATCAAGCAGAACCCGCCCCACGTGAAGGCCAGGACTGTCTACCCCTCCCTTTTCTCCCAAAAAGAAAACACACACAAACATTTCCCTGGGAGTTAAGGTCTCAGGTTCCTAGGTTTGGGCTTTTCATTCCTTGTAATAGGAAAGAGAGCTTCATTTTTACTAGGCTGAGGACTCCTTTTCTCATTTAAAATCCATCATTTTCCCTAATCCCCAGCAGATTCTTTGAATTTGCTCTGTAAATATTTATATAAAAATAAATTCGAGGGCAGAGTCAAGTCATCCTGAGCAAAGAGTGCTGTAGGCAAGGTGTGACCTGAACTAGAGTCCCCGAATACTCTCAGCCACTGGACAGGGAAGCAGCCTAAGCCCTGGGACCAATTCGAATTCCATTTCTCTGGGCCCCTCAGATTAGGGCTTCTTCCACAGCAGCCATGCTCACACTTAGCTCTGGGATGCACATTTCTAGCACTCCCGCTCTCCCTGCACAGAGCCCTCCACAGAAAACCCTACATACAATGTCCCGCCTTCTATTCTGTGACCCTTTTTCCTTTTATCAGGAGTCACAAACCTACTAAAGCCAGCCCCCAGGGGTATGGCCAATGAGCTGTTATAAAAGAACTAATTTGGGATTCTTTTAGGTGGGCTTGCGCTTTCCACTTCTCTACGGGCCCCACCATTCCCTGTTGGCTCCTTCCCAGCCTTGTCACACATTTTTGTTACCTGCTTGGCCCCTGAAGGCCTCTGAGGTTTTCAAACCTTGTTTTATATCTTTGTACTCCACAAAGAGCAGAAACTTAAAGAAGCAGACTGTCAGACCCCATCGCCAAATTGCTGTGTGTCCCCAGCACCTCTGGAAGCTGTACAAAACCTAAACATATACCTCTTTGGCTTCTTTTTGGTGATCCAACTTTGTCCTCCTGACGGATCCTATTGGGACCAAGGCATGGGATCCAGACTTCTCAGGGAGGTCTGGGTGTTACAGCCTCTCCTATAACCTGGGGGAGAAAATATGAAGCTGGAACCTCCCCTTCTCCCAAATAAAATGGTCCCCTGGCTAAATCCAATTTGAGACATACATGCTTTTCATCCTGAGTTTCCAAGATGCCTCCCATCATATAGATAAGGAACCAAGATGGCACTGGTGTCCTTAGATCAGTGGTCCCCAAATTTTTTGGCCCCAGGGACTGGTTTCGTGGAAGACAATTTTTCCATGGACGGTGGTGGTGCGGGGAGGATGGTTCAGGCAGTAATGCGAGCGATGGGGAGTGGCAGATGAAGCTTCACTCACTCACCCACTGCTCACTCCTGCTGTGTGGCCGGGTTCCTAACAGGCCGCAGACCCATACCTGTCCACGGCCCAGGGGTTGGGGACCCTTGCCTTAGGTCACAGGACCCCATGGGGCCACCATGTTGGGACTCCAAGGAGTTTATTCCCATAGTGAGTGATGCTTTCTGGTGTCCTTCAGCACAGTGGTTCTGAGGGCCTCTGAGTTTTGGTTTTCAAGCATTTGGGCTCTGCAGACCCCTGGCCTTTTGGACAATATGCTGTGTTCTGTGTTCCCTGCTGCCATGTCCAGAGTCCTGTAGTTTTCTGGTTGAGTTTCTCTACATAGATCCCATCCTGGTTTCTCTTCTCTGATTTACCATTCCTCGCTTATGATTTGGGTCTCCATGCTCATTTCCTTAGTCAGCCTGTGTCCCAGCCCCATGACCGCCTAAATCAACTCTATGCTGGGGAATCATCAACCTGATTCTTCTCCATGGATTCCTGGACTCTGGCAATAGAGCGGTACAGCAGCTAATCCAGATTACAGGTTCACCAATGCCTTATTCTTAGCCACTGACCTGGAGGCCAGGCCCAAGTAGCTTACATTGTTCATGCTATGGTAAAGCCAACTCCCGCCAGCTGCACGCTTGGGGTCCTGCTAGATTATATGCCCAAGCGCTGCTGGATGCGGACTCTGCTCAGCCTAGAGCTGGTCCTCAAGGGCAGCTGCCCCCCTTCCCCTTTCCTCCCTTTCGCTGGCCTGTAAAGCTGGAAATCCTATCCCCCCGGGCTAGAGTCTGTCTTGTACCCTAATTCCTTCTCTGGACACATCCTCCTCCTGATTAATTCTTTCCCTCCCTCAGAGACAGTTGATCATTCCCTCCTCTGTGCTCCCACAGCACTTCAGCGTGCAGCTATTATTACACTTATCACATTGTATTACAGTTAGTTGTTTATGTGTCTCTCTGCCTGCTCCACTTTTAACCCATTGAGGACAAGGGCTGCATCTTACTCATGTTGGTGTTTTCCCAATAGATATTGAATAAAGAGATATTGAATGAACTAATAAAGACCTATTGGATAGCACAGGGAACTGTACTGAATACTCTGTAACGACATATACGGGAAAGGAACCTAAAAAAGAGTGGAGATATGTATATGTATAACTGATTCACTTTGCTGTACAGCAGAAACTAACACACTGTAAATCAAGTATACCCCAATAAAATTTTTTTAAAAAGAAAAAAAGGAACATTTAAAAAAGAGACATTGAATGAATGGGCCATAATTTTTTTTTCCATCAAATTCATGTCTTTTTTAGATTTAGAGAAAAAAACACAAGGAAAGAATGAAAATGGCATCAGAGAAGACCCTCTGCTTCTCATCTGGAGTACCGTCAGTGTTGAACTCTATAGTTCAGGATCAGGGATTCTCAACCTTGCATGAATCGTAATTACCTGGAGGGCTATTAAAACACAGACCACTGGGCCCTGCTCCCCAGAGCTTCTGATTCAGGAGATCTGGGGTGCGGCCTGGGAATTTGCATTTCTAAACTGTTCCCAGATGATACTAAAGCTACTGGTCTGGAGACCACATCTTGAGGGCCACTGTTGTCCAAAGATGAGGAGCAGTTAAATTAGTTAGAGAAGCTATGAGGACAGAGAAGACACAAAGTTTCAGGGGTGAGTGTGACCTGAGGTTAGCCCCTGGGTCTGTTTAGGCTCTCTCCCATGCTAAACTCAAATACAACTTCCCCTCAGAAACCCCAAGACCCACAAAGAGCCAGAAGCCTCAGGCAAGGAGAGAGGAAAATGAAGATGGAGTGGGCTCTAGATCTAATGAGACAAATAGAGCTGATGGCTGGACACAGGCAAATTGCAGATGTGCGGAAGGACGACGATATGGCTGGAGATGCTGCTGGGAGGTGGAGT